AGGCACTGTACATACATTGTATGATAATTATAATGCAAGCTCGAGTGTGGGCTCTAAAGGCAAAGGAATGATCCAAAAGCTCTAAGAAAATATGAAGGATGAAGCCCCCTGGATTGGGTGGGTTAGTGAAGGGCAGACCTTCTAAACAAGAGGATTAGAACAGGTAGAGAGAAAGCAGGAGAAAAATCCAAGTATGAGGGATGTCCACCTGATGGATACACAAAGGCAAGAAAATAGCACATTGAGTTCAGAGAATAGCTAGTAGTTCAGTTTGCTTGTAATGCAGTGTGCGATAGTCTGAAAGGATGCTAGAAAAATAAGCTGGAGCCAGATGATACTGCTACTAATACCTAGCACTTCCATAGTATCTACCATGTGCCAGGCACTGTGTTAAATGCTTTACAACCATTATTTCATTTGATCCTCACAATAACCTAGCAAGTAGGTACTATTATGATTTCCATTTTACAGTTGTGGAAACCGAGGCAAATGGGGTCAAGTGACTTGCCCAGGGTCACACAGTTATTAAGCGTCTGAGGCTGGATTTGAACTCAAGTCTTTCTGACTGCAGGCCCAGAGCTCTACTGACTTTTATTCCATAGAGAATGGGAAGGCACTCAGAATTTTTGAGGAGGGGAATGACAGTCAAACCTATGCATTTAGGAGGATTATTTGCACAGTTGGAGGAAGGATCAGAGGGTACCTAACAGTTTGTTGCTGTTGTTTAGTTGTGTCTGACTCTTCATGATCTCATTTAGAGTTTTCTCGGTAAAGGTGAGGAGGTTTGCCATATTCTTCTCCAGCTCACTTTACAGATGAGGAAACTGAGGCAAGGAGGATTAAGTGACTTGCCCACAGTCACACAACCAGTAAGTGTCGGAGGCCAGATTTGAACTCAGGAAGATGAGTCTTCCTGACTTGTAGGCCCAGTGCCCTGTGCACTACGGCGCCCCCTAGCTTGCCTACCTAACCATTTACCTAAGCTTCATTCAGTGTTTTCCCTCCTGCTCCTCCTCTTTAATCCACTCTGCACACCACCACTAGGTAAAGTTTTCTATAACACTGCTCTCATCATCCCCTCTTCCTCATCAGGAATCTCCAGTAGCTCTGAATTACCTAGAGAATAATTCTAAACGTCTTAGACAGGATTTCAAGGCCCTCCACAACATAGCCTCAATTTAACCCCCTGCTGCCCTCCCCTCTGCTGCCCAGGCCAGAGAAGAGGGTTCTTTCACTCTGTCCTGAGAGTCCATCCATCGTTCCCTCCCCCCTTCCACTTGGAGGGCTCTCCCTGCTCCTCTGTACCTGTTGTTTTCAAAGCTCCAGCTCAAGCAATGTCCCCAGTCTAGCGCCTAATGCTCTTTCCTTCCTTTGAACTCATGGCATTTACTGTCACCATCTGGCGATCCATCTTAGCCCTGTGGGCTCCTTCATTGTTATTTCCATCTTCTTGGGTGCCGTTTCTTGTTACTCCCACTGGCTTAGAAGGGCTTCGAGGACACTGGGGATTGTGATGCTTCTTTGGAGTACCAAGAGCATCTAGGTTGGTACAAATGGGACGCAGGGTCACAGATTTAGAGCTAAATTCAGGAGGTGGGGGTGCTGGAGACAGCTGGAACTCTGAAGAGACATCAGCTAAATTTTCAGTGTCAGAATTTACACTTCAGAAATGGGCAAATACTACAAATGAAGACTTTATTATTTTGTTGATTGTCTAGATTTAAGAAAGTGATGGAGAAAATGTTATTAATGCAAATTAAGTGTAAAAATGTGTTTTGAGCACATTTCCTTTTTTCCTGGAGATTCAGTTGTTAAACATTTACCAGCAAACTTCTGGATGGAAGAGATCTTAGAAGTCATCCAGTCCTGCTCCCTCATTTTATTTTAAAAATTATTTTAAAATGTTTTTAAAAAGACCACGTGAGGTACAGAAATGTTAGCTGACTTGCCTAAGGTCAAATAGCTGGTTAATGGTAGAATTGTCTATTTGTACCCTGAAATCTAGTATAAGAATTTTTCCACTATGCCACCATACCTCTCAAGTGTTCCTCATTTTAGAGACCAGGAAATTGAGACTCAGAAGTCACACAGCTGGCAAATACATTAAGTAGGATTTGAACCCATATCTTTCTGACTCCATGTCCAACATTCTGTCCATGATAATTCTGCCTCTTCTTCTAGTATTCAATAAATATTTGTTGAATTAAATGACTTTTCCTATTAAACTCATAAAACTTGATTCTCTGACCATCAGAGGCAAAAGAAAAAACATGGCATAAATAACGAAAACCTGTTGAGAAGTGCTCTGAACAAGGCAATACGGCAACATACTGGACACTTGAATACTTCAATGGGCACAGAAATAAGATGAAATGACTTGAAAAATCTGGTACAACATCAAGAAATGAAAGAATTTGTTGAACGCTTATAGGAGACTCAAAAGCCTTGTATCTACAGAGTATGAATATTTTCTTGGGAAGATTCAGAAGTTGATAGAAATAGTGAACACAAATGAACATCATAAGGAAATGAAAGCGGCCATATTTGAACCATGAGGAAACACCTTGTTAACCAAACAGGAATAATTTTAGAACCAGGTATAGGTGTGAGGTTGTTTGGCCAGAGCAAAAGTCAAAGTCAATATGAATTAGAAGGAGAAAGGCGAGAAGACACTGGGTTAATGTAATGATTCTAGCCTGGCCTATTTAAATGTATTATTAACTCTGAGAAAAACAAAAGGGGGAGGAGAGGACAAAAGGAAAGATATTGATTTTTATTATCACCATTCTTCAAGAATTGTGGACCAATGAAAAACAGTCTCCACAACGAGAAAGCCAAAAAACATCCAGAAACCACTTCAGCCAGCCAATGTTTGCTTTTCTTGTTATGTGGACTGACAGGGAAGCCAGGGGCACCACCAGTGAATCAAGAGATCCTTTGCAAAATATTTTGGAAGAGAATGACAGAACGTTCTGCCCCACACGGCCTGAAAAAACAGTAAAAATCAGTTGAAAGGAAAAAAAAGAGTCTGATGAGAAGCTTGGTGTCAGATAGAGGTAAGTCAGACGATCTGAGGACATTTATAAATGAAAATAAAGAGGCCAAAATAAACCCAGATGGGAAATGGTAGAGATTTATTGTTATTTCCACACTGGTCACTGATGATGTTGGGACTGCCTCATTTGGACTCCATCATTTCAGTACCTAATGTATTACATGAGGAAGAGAAATGGCACTTATGAGAAGGCAACTGGAAGAAGTAGCTGGACTTGTCCAAATATGCAGAGAAGAAACTGGTGATGGAGGCAACTTGATTTTTTAACCCTCCTGCAGACTGAACACCAGCATGCCAACCTGGCAAATGCAGAGATGAATAAACTGTGCCCAACTGAAGCAATGCTGTATTTTTGCCCCATATCCTTGCTATGCTACAGCTAAATAACTTTTGTTAACTGCTCAATAGCCTATGATGCTAGCGAGGTAGTGCGCTGGATAGAGTGAATACTGCTTCAGACATTTACAAGGAATATGATACTGGGCAAGTCATTTACTTAAGATCTCTCTAAGTTTCAGTTTTCTCATCTGTAAAATGAGTCAGTTGGATTCACTGACCTCTCTGGTCCCTTTCAGCCCTAAGTCACTGATACTATGAGTGCCTTCCCTTTTGGGAACTCTGAAAGGGGCAGTTGAGAATTTACATGAGTTTTCCTTTTATTATTTCAAATTTTTTCAGAATTGCAATATAATTAACATTGAATAGTGTCTTGAGCACATAACAGGAATAAGAGCTGGACTTGAGGTCACATTGCTCTAAGGAACTTCCTAGATCTAGGTGAGGAGACATCCCTAGAGAGCTGAGAAGTCAAATAATTGACTCATGGTCTCACATAATGTGGCACAGGCAGAACTGGCTGGTTCTCTAACCAGTCAGTGATGCTGCATCTATTACACAAAACAGTTTTCTAATGAATGCTTGTAGAATTTATAAATTATTTTCATGGAGTCTAGAATTTCCTTCCACTGAAACTGGATTTCCAAAATATGCTCAAACCATAATCAAATTATAAAGGTAGGGGCAGCTAGGTGGCACAGTGGATAGAAACTGGCCCCGACTGAGGAGCACCTGAGTTCAAATCTGGCCTCAGACATGTAACACTTACTAGTTGTGTGACCCTGGGCAAGTCACTTAACCCCACTGCCTAGCCAAAAAAAAGAAAAAAAAAATTATAAAGGTAACAGTTGTAAAGGCAGAAAAACTAACACACAATCTTTATTGTTTCTATTAGAAGTTACATACACTGCTAAGAAAAATACAAATTTTAGTTACCAAGAACAATATGAAAATTGCTTCCCTGTTAACCCTATGTACTTGAAACATGAGATATTAAAATAAAACACATTAAATAATGACAAAAATAGAATTCTTTGTATGTTACAAAATTTTTACCTGAGTTATTTCTTCCTCTTCTCTGTAATATAACTCTAAGGAATCTTTTTCTTAATAGAACCAAGAGGCATATATTTTAAGGCCCAAAGGTTAGGATTTATATTATCTGCTTCAAAATGAAGTGGCCTTAGTGAAGGGAGGTCAGATTTCCCCACCAGGTACATTTGTGCAGTAGGAGTCTCAAAGGGAGAAGTACAAAATAGGATGGTCTAAGTTCTTCAAATTTTATTTTTGAAAGCTACCCTTTTCAAGTCTTTACTTTTCTTTGACAAAAACAAAACTTAAACCTGCTTAAATTTTCATTGTTCACTGTCCCTCACACGGGAGTCAAAGAAGGCAAAGGCACTTTCTATAGGTAGAAAGTATGAAATATCTACCAGTGGGAATCCCTTTTTTGTTGTTTTTTTCTTAGACTCAATGACAAGCTAATTTTGTCCTTTATTTAGAGGAGAGATAAAATCACTATCAAAACTATCCATCCTTACACAATTAAAAAAAAATCAAAATTATGAAGTCACACCTCATTAACAGTTTTCAAAAGGGGTGTGGTATATAAAGCACTTTATTTTACTCTTCACAGGTAGGGACAGCCTCTCCTGACTTTCTTCTTAGTAGTTTTAAAGTGTCAAGTAGAAAAAGATTTTCTTCATTCAGCAAAGCTTCTATGTAACTGTCAATGTGTTCGAAGTCATCTGGAGTATTCTGAAAAACAAAACAAAACAAACAACAAAACAAACCCAAAAAACCAACCACTATTGAGCTTAAAACATGAGGAAGGATGGATTCACTTCTAAACTCCTTCCCATGTCAAAACCACAGTTCTCAGCTGCACTGCAGTCCACTGGGAGTCTCCTTGTTGTCGTAGCACGTGAAGGTTTCTTCAAGCCCATGTATTAATTAAGATCTCAGGCTGATTGATTTGGCTCACTTTCTATTCCCCCTGTCCTGTGGCTGGAAAATCCTTCTGGCAAATCTCCTACTTTGTTGACAGCATAGGTCCATGGCCCTGACCCTGACTAACCCTGCCCATTCTCTGATCTCTATATAGCTCATTCCTGCTCCCCTAGGCCCTATTTTCCTCTGCCCACTCATTCAAAATTTGCCCAGATAGTTGCCAACCCCCTTTCATTTTTTACCTCTTCTTTGCATATTTCCCTACATTCACCCTCCAGCATTAATTAAAATTTGGTTTTCCCTTGAAAGTAACACGTCTTGGGTTACTTTCTCCCAATAGCCAGATGAAAGAAATGATTATTTTCTTATATTAATAATCAATTAATTAGGACCAGGATTTTTTCCCTTCCTATTTCCTCATTCAGAAATCAGCCCCTTGCAGGTTATTCAGTCAGTATCTGAAGGACATTGTTGATAAGGAGATTGGATTAACTTTCTCCTTAATCTTGTTCAGACCCCACCCAAGTGGGAAAGCCTATTGTTTTGTACTCTGGCTTGAAGAGGGGAGGTGCAGGGTAAAATCCTTTGTCTAGATGGGTGGTCTGGGAGTAAAAATGACATAATCAAAGTCACCTTTCTCTCCCCTACCCAACCTCATTAGAATAGGTCCACTTCTCACTATAATATTCATTCTTCTCATTAATTGTTAACCAATCAGAGCTGATTACCACCTGTTGGGAACACCCACTCTTCCAAGGGCATAGAAACATCAAGAAGCCACCATGATATATCATTAGTCTAGGAGGGACAGCCAAATGGCTCTTTTGTTAATTATCCACTGGCCATAATTAATAAAATGATTGTTTATTACCCAGAAACTATGTCTCTTGAACTTTTTACAGGCAACACAGGCTGGGCATAAGAGTGAATATACTCCACACTACCTACTGGACATCTTGAACTGGATGTCCAATAGATATCTTAAACTTAACACATCCAAAATTGAACTTACTATAAATCTTTCCCCCATCACCATCCTCCCAATCATCTAGGCTTGCCACCTCAGTCTTATTCTCGGTTAGTCCCTTTCTTACCCCTACTCTCCCCATCCAACCTGTAGCTAAGTCCTGTTGATTCTACCTTTGAAACGTCGCTCATATATGTCTCCTTTTCTTCTTTGACACCACCCTGGTGGTACAGGTCCTCATCACCTGCACTTGTACTACTACAGTGAGCTCTGGCTGGTTTCCCTCCCTCTAGTCTTTCCTCATTCAGGTCCACCCCTTTGCTCAGTTGCTAAAGTGACCTTCCTTTAGAAAGCCCAGGTCTGATCATGTCCTCCTCTTCTTCCCCCTCAACTTGATAAATGCTATTGGCTCTCTTTTGAATCCAGGAGCAAATATAAAACCCTCCACTTGGCTTTTAAAGCCTTTCACAACCAGGCCTCTTTCTACCATTTCAGCCTTCTTATGTCTTATTCTCTTGCTCACACTCTAGAATTCTGTGACACTGGCCTCCTTGCATTTACTTGGATGAGACACTCTATTGCCTGACTCTATGCATTTTCACTGACTGTTACCCCATGTTGGGAATGCTCCCCATCTTCACTTCCTGGTTTCCCCAGCTTCCTTCAAGATGCAGCTACAGTCCTACTTTCTGCAAGAAACCATTCCCAATCTCCATTCATTTTAGTGCCTCCCCCCGAGGTTATCTTCAATTTACTGTGGTTTTTTTGTGAGTACAGTTGTTTGCATGTTGTCTTCCCCATTAAACTGTGACCTGCTTGAGAGCAGGGACTGTTTTGACCTTTCTTTGTATCCCCAGCAGCCTGGCATGTGGCAAGAACTCTACAAATGTTTGTTGACTGGCTAATGTTACTACTTCCAGGACTTCCTTCAACCACAATGACTCAAGTATCTCTCCTGCTCTTCTCCTGACTCTTTTGACTATAATATGCTGACCTGGAGAACACTCCCATGATCCTCAATGACTTCAGCACCTCTGTCATCTTCCTGGGTGATTTTAATATTCATCCCAGCCTGTTTTTCAACCTCCTCAAATCCAGAGACCTCCACTATTACTCTACTTTAGCCACAAACAAAAGTTGCTCATCCCTTAGGATTCATCACTCTAAACTACTTTAATTCTACTGTCTCAAACTCTGCGATTCTTCCATGACCACAGTCTCCCACGCTTCCACCTCTCCCATAGCCTTGTTCTTTCTGAAATTATCTTTCATCCTTATGACTTCTATCCCTAGACCCCACTTCATTCTATCAGTTTACCATCCCTATTCTGACGTACTTGGTCTTGAACCCATTGTTAGCTATTTGAAAGACAGAGTCTCTACCCCTGAAAACTCTGCCTTCTTTTCCATCTGCTGTTTCCACCCAGCTAATTCCTAACCCATTGTAAACCCTATGACTTTATTTTGTTATATTCCTGAAATGCTGAATTCTTAGGAAGCCATGCTGATTGGGTCCACTATGCATTCATTTTCTCTAACATCAATTGGGACCCCATTGCTATGCTGAAATCTTTTTATTCATCTTTGGTTGGCTCTCTATAGCAAAGGGATCTTGCCTCTGACTCACTGACAAAACTGAGGTCATCCACGTGGAACTTCCTTAATTCCCTTTGTCCAGTCCCTTAAAACTTTCTGTTATGTTCTTGCCCCTTTCTTTGCTGTAGAGTCAAAAGATGGAGAAGGTGGCTTTCCTCCTCACTGTAGATAACCTATCCACCCGTGTGCCATTGGGTTAGCTAGCCCTTTCCTGTTATGAGGGCTTTCACATGTCTTACTTCCTCTGCATACGCTGTTAGGATCATGACCTAGTTCTTCTCTCACAGACTTACTGGAGAAGATTTGATCATAAGGTTTCCTCCTTTTTATAATTATGTATTTAAAAAAATTGTAATTGAAAAAATCTCCTATGATTCTATCTTCTCTAGGTCAATTGCTGCCCTTTAATTCTTTCCTCATAGATCCCATTTTCTAACCTTGGAATCTGTAATCTTATGATCTGGTAAATGTTTAACGACTAGCTCTTTGGAGGGAAAATGGTATATATGCCATACTTTTAATTTTAATATGTAATATTAACATTTTCTTTTAAGCCTAGACAATCAACAAAGCAATAGATCATGCCTAGATTTGTAGCATTTGCCAATTTCTGAAGTATAAATGTTCACACTGAAAATTTAACAATTGGTTCTCTTCAGATGGTGCTAGCACAGCTTTGCTAGTAGGTAAAACAGTAAAGCAGGGAGTCTGTCCCCTTTCATCATCTCTCTTTCTTTGTCCCCCACACCCTAGAAGTTCCATCCCTTGAAGCACATTTTCTTTGACTCATTTTTAAGCACATTATCCTTCCTTGTCACCTATGACCACACCTCACTCTCCTTAACATGATATAATAGAAACAGAAATGGTCTCAGAGACGGGAGCTCTAAATATGCATCCCATCTCTGATACCTATTAGCTGTGTGACTCTGAGCAAGTGACTTAAATTCTCTGTTTCCTCAGCTCTCAGAGAGAGATAATATTTGTATGACCTACTTGTTTTGTGAAGAAAAGTACTTTGTAAACTTCGATGCATTATACAAATGGGAAAGGTAATTTTTTATTTCTAAAATGGGAAATGAATGATAAAAAGAGTGACTGTAACCATTTTGTTTTGAAAATACTGGAAGAGACTCAGTGGTACGAAGGAGCAGGCTCATATTGTTTCTTGAGAGTTGATTATTAAATTTTCAGTATGACCATTTACACCTCAGAAATGGGCGGATTAGGGATGAATTTATTGTTTTGGTGATTGTCTAGATTTATGAAAGTGACTTAGAAAATGTTAATAATTCAGATTAAAATTAAGACTGTGTTGCACACCCAATTTTTTTCCCCAGAGAGCCAATTAAATATTTATCTAGGACATCTCTGTCAAGAGTACTTTTCTTATGAAAAGAACCATTAGTTATACTAGTCCTTCTTAGAAAAAAAATTAATGAAATAATTTCTTCTTTTATTTCCTTCTACTTGCCAAAATTTTACACATCTGGTTTTATCTCAGGAAAATAAAAATATTGTGCTTGCTGAAAACGTGGAAAACTAATTTTCTGTGGTAAAAATGTTAATATACATTGCTACTGAGGTCAGTCAAAAATACTTCTCCTGATCACAGATCATAGGATCATAGAATGCCAGAGTTGGGAGGCACTTAGTGGCTATGTAATCTCTTTATTTTAACAGAACAGAAAATTGAGGTCCACAAAAATGAAATGACCTAACAAAGATCATACTGACAATAACAGTCTAGCATTTTCAGAAAAAAAAAAAAGCATTTAGAATGCCTTAAATTTCTTTCCAGAGCGTGTTCACTTTTTAGTTCAGTCTGTCCTCATAACTGGGCAGCTAGGTGGTACAGTGGATACAGTGCGGGTTTGGAATCAGGAAGACCTGAGTTCAAACCTGACCTCAGACATTTACTAGTTGTGTGACCCTTAGCAAGTCACTTAACCCTGTTTGCCTCAGTTTTCTCATCTATAAAAATGAGCTGGAGAAGGAAATGGCAAATCACACCGGTATCTTTGCCAAGAAAACCCCAAATGGGGTTCACCTCGAGTCAGACATGATTGAAACAACTGAACAACAACAAATCCTCACAACCACAATGTGTGGAAACTGAGGCACAGATAAGGAAAGTGTTTTGTCCACAGACGTCAGATTAACAGTGATGCTGGGAATAGTAAATAACAAGCCTCATGTTCTATTCATAATTGGTATCCCTATGATTCAAAATAAATAGCATCACTTACCAGATTCCAGTTACTCAGCAATGTTGCCACATTTGCCCGGAGGCTTTTCAGTTTATTTTCAGTAATTTTTATTTGTTTTTCACATTGTTTATGATGAGCTTCATTATTCATTGCTGTCTTGTTTGCCTGCTGAGTTATGGACTTCATTTTCCATCTTACTTTCTTTTCATACTGAACCATGTAAACACTCCAGATCTGTGAAAGAATAATACAGTTTTTACATTTAGTTTAACTTTTTAAATAAATTTTAATGTATAAAATGGTATTAATAACTTTTCAGTCCCTTCTTCCAAGCCACCACCCAGATTCTAGTTTTGTCCATTCATTTCCATTCGCTTTTTCACATAGTAGATATTTAATAAATACTTGATTGATCAATATGGTCATTGGTAGTACGTATTCTATTCTTTTTCACTTTTTTATTTTTTTTTGGTGAGGCAATCAGGGTTATGTGACTTGCCTAAGGTCACACAGTAAGTTTCAAATGTTTGAGGGCAGATTTGAACTCGGGTCCTCCTGACTCCAAAGCTGGAGCTCTATCTACTGTGCCATCTAGCTGCCTCTTTCACTTTATTTCTTAACAGCTTTTAAAATTCTTTCTATTAATCTAAAAACTGCATTCTTTTATTCCATTTCATTAATATACCACAATTTAACCATTAGCTATTAGCCATTACTCTTTTGCTGGACATTTGAACAACTTTCAGGTTTTTTTTTCTTTTTCAATTATATAGAATATTGCTATGAAATACGAAAAGACAGCTTTTTGTTTGTTTTTGAAACATTTTTAGACTATATTCCTAGTAATGGAGCTACTGGCCTGAGGGTTTTGGTAGTTTTTCTAGACTGCTCTACAAAAGATGATACAAGTGTGAAATTCTACCAACAATAAAAGACTATACTTATTAATTAATAACTTTGAAAGCATTGTTTCCCAGTTTTCATTTTTTTTTACCAGTTTGATGAGCATTATAATACGATAGCACTTTTTCATTTATTTATTTATTTGCTAGACAATGGGGTTAAGTGACTTGCCCAGGGTCACACAACTAGTAAGTGTCAAGTGTCTGAGGTCAAATTTGAACAACAGTACTTTTTTACATCTATATATAACTCTTCTATGACCTACATGATAAATTTTTATGAGCATTCCATGTGTGCTGAAAAAGTATTTGGGTTCCCTTCTTCTGCCATTAAATTTCTCTGTCAATTCCATTTTATTAAATAAACTGTTCAGATTTGTGATTTTTAAAAATTTGTCATATTCTGATAATAGAGTGTTGCAATTCCCAATTCTTATATTCACTTGGAATGACTTTGTAATATCTTTTTATTTTTACTGGTAACCTTGTTAGTCTTCCTTTTATGAATTTGCTGAAATTTTGACCCACAAAAATTGAGAATTATTATATATTTCTTATTCATTTTTCCTTTCACCATTATGATTTCTTGTCTTCTGATGTTTTATAATTTGAATTCCATTTAATTGACACTATTGCCACTTTTGCTTTTTTTCTGAACTTACAGTTTCATGACACATTTAAGACCAATATTTTCATTTTAATCTAGTATATCTTTTTGCATTAAATATGCTTCCCTCAATAAACATATCAGTGGCTTTTATTTCTTGATTATGCAAGGACTTTTTATTTTTAATGGGGAAATTCAGACCATTCACATATACTGTTATAAGCAATACATTCAACTGGCCTTCTATAATTTTATTGCTGTTCTTAATGTTGCATAAAAGTTGCAAAACTTATCTTAATATATAACTTCTATTACAACTGCTAAAAAAGTAAATGAAACAAGTTGTATTTCTTTAAAAAAATAAAGAAACCTATTAATTCTGATATTTTCCTGAGATTTAAATCCATTTTTATTATAGAAAAAGACATTTTGCTTTTGCAATTGCCAGGTTCCCAAGTTGTCATTGTTTATCATTTAGGTTAAATGGCTTTTAATTTATTGAGGTATTTTAGCGTTACAGTGGCTTCCTAAATGGTTTCCCTGCCTCGGATGATTCTCCATCCCAATCCCTCCTCTAAATAGCTACCAAAATGATTTTCCTTAAATGCAGATCTAACAATGTTAACTCTCCTACCCAATGAACTTCAGTGCCCCTCCACTGCCTGTAGGATTATATATAAACCCCTCCATTTGATTTTCAAAGCCCTTTACAACCTCACCCCAGCTTACCTTTTCATTAAATATCACTCCCTTCCTTAACTCTCTTGTCCAACCCAAATGGCCTTCTATTTGTGTCTCACACATGGCACTCCATCTCCATGCCTGCGCTGGCTGAGCTCCCTACATGGAATGTACTTTCCCATCATGTCCACTTTAAAGAAGATTTTACTTTCTTTGAGATACAGTTCAAGTACTACCTTCTACATAAAATCTTTCCTAACCCCACCCCAAATGCACAGAACATTCCTATTCAACTTCCTAGTATTCATTTTGTATATATTTGTTCTGTAACACATTTATGTATATGTTTTTCCCAACAAAATGTAAGCCCTTGTGTGTAGAGTTTTTTTGGTCTTAGCATATCTATATCTAACTAATTTTAACCATTAGTGACAGACTTAAGTATATATGTACATATATAAATATAATTAATATTTTGTTAAGAATTTAAGTCCAATGTTACTCTGACTTAACATATCTTTTTTTTTCTTTCTCAACATTTAGGAACTTTTTTGTCTTTATAACTGTATAGTTTAGCAATTATCTTTCTAGGTAAATTAAACTTAGGGTTTCTTTGAATTCTATATATCGCCTCTAGTTGCAGAACACTGCCTGTTCTTGTCCATTCTGGAAAATGTTTTTTAAGTAGGTCCTTGGATACAATACCTAGCTTTAAAAAAAAAAAAAATCAGTGTTTTCTGGGATCACAGTCAATGAAATATTTAAGCTTCTTGATTTATCTACTCTATGTGTTATTTTGTCCTACATACACATTGATTAATATTTCCAGTCTGTTACATTCTGAACTTGTCTTTCACCTTTATTTTGGTTGTCCATTAAGCTTTTCTTAACTTCATTTATTCTGTTATTTATTGCTTATATTGATTTTTAAAAAAAATCACTGGATATAATTTTTCAGTTTCCTTCACTATTCTTTCATCGCTTGTGCTTTTTAAATTGAAGTAGATTACTCCTTTAAATTCTTTAAAATATCAATAGTTTATAAACCACTATAACCCTAGCTTGGCTCAGTTAAGCAATCATGTTTATTGAGCAAAGATTAAGGGAACCTTAGGCACACTGTCAAGACTTATTCAATGATCTTTGGATAGAATTGGGCTTAGTATTAAACAGACAAGTAATGTAACACATATAAATACTGGAGGGCAAGCAAATCATAGGATCATTAGCCAGGCAAAGAGTTAGAATAGCAGACACAAAGCACTAAAAATAAAGAAACTTTAAAACTGAAGAATTTGCTCCCTTGACAACTCAGATGACATTCTGAAGTCAATGGAGCATGAAGAGATCTATTTTACATCTTCTACAATTAACCCTATAACAAGTAACACTTTTTTGAAACCAATAACATCAAAAGCAGAGAAGAGGCTTCTCACGTGCTTCTGCTAAAGCAATAGCAGCCAATCCTAGGACGTAGCAGGTTTAAGAGTTGTTGAGTGGGACATATGAGTCATTTATGGAGATGACAAGTAAGTTAAGCCTGAGGAGGGAGTGTTTAGCATCAGAAAGGTGAACTGATATTGACAGGAACTGTTGGCATTTCAAAATCTGTTTCTAGAGCTTTGTAATTTATACATATTATGTACAAAGCACAGTGCTTGATGTTGGAGAAATAGAAGCATAATGAGATAGTGCAAAAAGCCTTGGATTTAGAATCAGAGGACATGAGTTCAAATCATGGTCTTTGAACCATGCCACTTTAAAACTTCAAATCCATGACCTTAGGTAAATCATTTAACCTTTAGTCACTTAAATATAACTTTACACACTAGAAACACATATACATATAGCATAAATCTAAAGTTATTAAGTACATATGCACACAAAGTAGTTAAATGCAAGTAGTTTGGGAGGGAGAGCACTAGAAGCTGAGAGGAACTGCAAAGGTTTCAGCTGTATTTTAAAGGAAGTGAGAGACTCTATGAAAGAGAGATATGAAGGAAGGAATTGTCTTCCGGGCAAAAAGAATGGCCACCGCAAAGATAGAGAGAAGAGAAATGGAGTGAAGAACAGAGAACACCAGTTTGGCTGGATCTCAGAGTTTTGGACGTGGAGTAATATCCAGTGAGTCTGGAAAGATAGGCTGGGGTCAAGTTGTGAAGCAAACAAGTTTAAAAGTAAACAGAGTTTTTAGTTTATCCCAGTGGCAATGATTAAAAGCAACTGGAGTTGGTTGAGTTGGGAATGGGAGAGAGTAGAGGGTGCCCCAAAATCAACAACCTCACTAGGAGAGAGTGGAGGGAAAAGAGAAGAGTCCCAGGACAAAATCTGGGGAGCATCCAGAGTTGTATCCAGTTGTTTTTTTCAGTCATGTCTGACTCTTCATGACCCCATTTGGGGTTTTCTTGGCAAAGATACTGGAGTGGTTTGCCATTTCCTTCTCCAGCTCATTTTACAGATGAGGAAACTGAGGCAAACAGGGTTAAGTGATTTGCCCATAGTCACACAGCCAGTAAGCATCTGAGGCCAGATTTGAACTCAAGAGGAGTCTTGACCACAGACCCAGCACGCTATCCACTGAACCACCTACCTGCCCTCATCCACAGTCAGGGGGTGTGATATGGATGATGAACCAATAAAGGAGACTGAGAACCTGTGATCAGACAGGTAAAAGGTGAACCAGGATAGAGCATTATCGTGAAAAAAGATGAAAGAGTATTTAAGAGGAGAAGGTGGTCAGATCATCAGATTTCACAGTTAAATTATAGTTATAGCAAGACAAAACTATATTAATCTTTTCTGAGACCACTGCTATGGAATCAGCAAAATATATACTTTTGAACAATGTTCTCCTCTGCTAACCTGATGTATCATTGTCTATAGTGTATACTTAGCATTTGCTTAATGCCAACAAATTTGCAAATAATATAGTGTCTGGTAACAGGCTTCAAATTTTTAGACATCTGGACACAATGCAGTAACTTTCCTCTAGATTAATTCAAAAGGTCAGAGACTAGAAATCTGAAACTACAAAATTCTATTAAGTATTCAAGGATAGTGTAAACCACTGGATCATAGGCCTTAGCACTAGAAAGGAAATAGGCTATCATTTATCTAATCTTGCTTTACAGACAACAGAGAAGTTGAGTGACTTGCCTAGGGTCAAAAAGTAGTAAGCAGCAAAGGCAGGACATGAAATAATTTGCTCTGACTAGGAATACAGTAATTTTGCCACTATCTCATAAAATCTTAAATCTTAAAAATGAAGTTTTTCATGATTTACTCAAGGGCTGAGTTGTACCTTTTTGTATTTGTTTATGAGATGCAATATTATAATAATACAATGTTACAATAAACTGTTAACATATTGCAGATAACTTTGACTTTTGTATGATGTTTAAGAAAGCATCAGAATATCATATACAAGTCTCTACCCCAAGTGTCAACCTTTTGAAAAGCCATAGAAAGATAGATTTAGAACTAAGAGGGGCCTCAAAGTTCATCTAGACTAATAATTTCATTTTATAGAAAAGGATATTGAGATGAAGCAAGAAAAAATGAATTCAAGGTCAAGGTCACATAAAGCATGAGTGGCAGAGTCAAGGTTTGAATCTATGCTCTCTGATGCTAAATGCAAGGTTCCTTTCATTACATCATATTGTTAGGCAATTCCATATGATTAAAGAATACATAATGTCACAAACATCATTACATTTTCCTAAAACATATTAACAACTTTGAGAAGATATCATTAAGGGTAGAATAAGAAAGGCCTTACATCATAAAAAAATGCAGGTAGGGGAACAGAAAGAAGGCCAGAAAGGAGCACAGGCAAGCAGGAAAGTTTTGAAAAAGACAAGTTGAATGTATTATATACTTAAAAAGAAAATCAATCTGTGCATAAGAGAGATCTGTAGTTTCACGTATAATCTTTTTGTATTCTACTCAGTACACAGAAATGCCTAATTTACTTGGTGTTTGTTAAATTCAGAATAAATAAAATAAATAAAAATTATTTTTAAAAGGTCTTAAACAAATTGGGATGCATAAATGTCTAATTCTTAACTAATTTCCAACATTCATGGAGTTAGTATTCAATATTCTAATGGCTAGTCCCCAACAAGTGGAGATCAATAGTTCCTAAAATTTTACCTGGCAGATCTCTAAACAGTTACAAACTGCCATACGGTTTGCTTAGAATTCTTAGTGAGGATGGGAATAATAGTGGTTGCTAGTAGTGTTTCTCCTCTGTCCTCATAGAGGTAATACCCTTAGCGCCCTCATCCCTCTAAATTTCATCAGGAGAATGAAAAAATAAGTATTTCACAAAAATATTAGAGACGTCTGCCCTTACCCCTGCCCAGCAGCAGTCAGGCTGACATTGCCGAGCAAAGTAATTCATGGGAGTGACATCTTCTAACAGGTCTGAGTGAGAAGGAAGAAATTCTGGGCTCCTAGAATTTTCAAGTTTCTAGGAAACCAGGAAACTTGAACAAATGAACTCTTTCTGGTTCCAGTTGGGAAATGTGAACAGGTGAGTCTACAACCTGCCCAATCATGAAGTGGGAAAGAAATGTGATGCTTTGTTTATTAAAGCAATGTAAAGCAATTTCCCAGTTGAATAGGAAAGGGAAACCACAAAATGCACATGCCTTCTTTTTCTGTGGTCTTACAGGCACTCAATCAGAAAAAAATAAAGGCTCTTGACTTCTCATTACCATAAAGTTGTTAAACTCAGGCACATTCTAAAATATGAATATTTAGTGTTGTAGTACAGTCCAGGTTGGGAAACAGAAATGTCAGGTGCCGGTCTTTATTTCAACACTAGTTAGCGGTGCACATCTGGGCAAGTCCTTTGTTCACCACAAAAGAAGGAGACTTAAATTTTAATCTGTTGATCTCCAAAGGATTATGGGAAGATTGGTTAGATAACATTTGAAAAGAATATTGAAAAGCAATGTGGTGGACCCACATGTACAAAAATATTTATAGCAGCTCTTTCTGTGATGGCAAAGAATCGGAAATTGGGGGGATGCCCATCAATTGGGGAATGGCTGTGGTATATGAATGTAATGGAATACTATTGTTCCATAAGAAATGATGAGCAGGTGTACTCCAGAAAAACCTGGAAGACTTACATGAACTGATGCTGAGTGAAAGAAGCAGAACCCAAAGAACATTGTACACAGTAACAGCCACACTGTGCCATGGTTAACTTTTACAGACTTGGCTCTTCTGAGCAACACAAGGATCTAAGATAACCCCAAAAGACTCATGATGGAAAATGCTATCCACATCCAGAGAAAGAACTATAAGAGTCTGAATGCCGACTGAAGCATACTATTTGATCTCTTTTTTCTTCTGTTGTTTTGATTTGTTTCTTCTTTTGTGTGGTTCCTCCCAATGGTTTGAATACTTCTTTACAACATGACTAATGTGAAAATATGTTTTTGAATGCATATGTAAAGCCTATATCAGATTGCACGCTGTCTTGGGGAGGAGGGAAAGAAGGGGAGAAAACTGAAAACTCAAAAGCTTATGGAAGTGAATGTTGAAAACTAAAAATTTAAATAAATTAATTAGAAATTTTAAAAAAAAGAAAAAAAGAAAAGCAATGAGGCATAGTGGCAAGAGAACTGGACTTGCAATGACAATTCCTGGGTTAGAACTCTGGTTCTCTCACTGGCTGTGTGATCTTGGGCAAACCATTGAGGCTCAGTTTTTCTACCCACAAAATGGAGACTATATCACAGAGTTATGAGGAAATTTATTTGTAAACTGTAAAATGCTATGTACATATAAGTTGCTACTTAGGCCAATGTATAAAATTACAATAATCATAATATTTTCCTCCTGGAATGGGTTAAGTTGATTTTTCTTGTTAGGAAAGCTTTAACCTGTCCCCATCCCCCTATCCCCTCTCTGGCAAAAAAAAAGAAAAAAAAAGATACTAATCTGTCTGAAATAGTTTAAGTGAAGTGTCAGCCTGGAACATAATGATGTTTGGAGGTCATTTCCAGTTCTACATCTCTAGAATTTAGTGAGTTTTTTTTTTTTTTTTTTTTGTTAGGACTCAGAATGTTGGCATGCGTATTGCTTCTATATCCCCACTTTCAAGTATTCTATCAACTTTATCCCACGGAAAAACACTCCCCCATGAAAATATCTTTTCTTATTTTAAAGGATTCTCTCTTTGTAACCCTTGATGTGAAATTTATTAATCTCAGACTTAGTGAAAGAATGCAAATTTGCTTTCCTTCCAAAACTAACATTCAATACTATATATTATTTTTCCCCCTTTGGAAACAGCACTCCTTTAGAATTTAGATGACTCCATTTAAAAGGGACTTACCTGGTTGCAACACATTTGCAGTTTTTTGTTTAGCTTCTCGGGGCAATTCTCCAGCTATTTTCAAAAATGATAATAGAACAGAATTTTAGCTTTTAGGGAACAAGCTGTTTACAACAGAGTAATAATGTATATGCATCTCATATCAGAAAAGTATCATCAGCCTAAAGCAGGTCAGCATTAGCACTGTGGGTCTTTAGAATCTGGCCTAATTTTATGCAGACAGGGACTGACTACATCTTCTATATTTCCATAGCATCTAGACTTTGCTAACGGTCCAGGGACAATCTTTCTTGCAGTCCATTTACTCCATGATTTCACGATTGGCTTTACTCATAACATCACCAGGACAAATTAACTGTATTACATTTGCTTCATTCTTGGAGGACTGATGATTTGGAACAGAAAAACCCCAAATCTAAAAATGCAGTAGTAGTTTGTAACCTTTATCTCACTGAGTCCTGAGATCACTAACTCTATTCACTTAAGCCACTCAGAGATCATTCCTTAAAGGCCCTTCTTCATTGGACAAACCAGTTATCACCTTAGTTATCACCTGTGTGCAGAAGGGATTATGTTACCTCACACATTGCCATGAGTTCCTCCATAGACTTGCAGTCAAAGTCCTTAGAGAGCTTACAGTGAGGATGGAAATAAAGAAGAATCTCTCTAGAAACACAGAAAGAAAGGTGAACATCAATATGGCAGAATTGCCATTCGTGTGGCAGAGGCAGTATTATTGCATACTTATGTGGGCCTCTCAATAGTAAAGAAAATGAACACTCCCAAAGCCTTCCTTTCATCTGACCATTCACCATAAGGTTCTTCAGAAACCAGGTGTATAATGGATCAGATTTAGATATGGAAGAGAACCTTGAGGTCCCCTACCTGATCCTATTGTCTTTCATTTTACAATTGAGGAAGCCAAGGCCCAGAGGTAAAGTGACATAGTTGGAGGTAAAGAGGCAGAGCCAGGACAGTAAGTAATCCAAGTTACTGACAACTTTACATGTGAGCCCTGTCTTCCTCCTCTCCAGGCAGCCCTCCAGATTTCCTAACAATTAGTGCAGTGCCTGGAACACAGTAAGCACTTAATAAATGCCTGTTGATTCATTTCCAATCTTCAGTTGCTACAATTCAGGTGAATTCATCTCAAAGTATTTATTTAGTACTTTGTTTCCAACATCATGTAAGGCCTTGCAGGGGACACGTAATAATGTTATGGTTAAAGGCATAATGTTTGTAGAAACACTGGTTTCCCTCAGAGAAAGAAGAGTAGGCTCAAAGTTTAAGATATCATTTAGTCCAATTCTTTCATTTTATAAATTAAGAAAAGAAGGTCCAGGAGATGATTTGCCTAAGTTTCACAGAGGTAGTAAGTAGCTGCTGTTGTTCACTGGTGTCCAACCCTTCATGACCCCATTTGGGGTTTTCTTGGCAAAGATACTGGAGTGATTTGCCATTTCCTTTTCCAGCTCATTTTACAGATGAGGAAACTGAGGCAAAGAGGGTTAAATGACTTGTCCGCTTGGCTCAGGGTAATAGAGGAGATACACAATGACCAGGTTAGCTAGGTGGTACAGTCAATGGAGTGCCAGGCCCGGAGAGAGGAAGCCTCATCTTCCTGAGTTCAAATCTAGCCTCAGTAACTTAGCTGTGCAAACTTTGGCAAGTCACTTAACCTTATTTGCCTCAGTTTCCTCATCTATAAGATGAGCTGAAGAAGGAAATGGCAAACCACTCCATTATCTTCACAAATAAAACCCCAAATGGGGTGATAAAGAATCTGGCATGACTGAACAACAGAAATACACAGTGACTAAAACAATGTGGACAAAAAGAACAACCGAAAGAATTGAAAATGAATTCCTTGAAATTATAATGACCAAAGTTGTCCACATAGAATAGATATAAGAAAACAATGAGACAGACATTGAAACAGACAGACAGAATGCAGAGACAGACAAAGAGACATAGTGTGAGACAGACAGACAAAGAAACAGAGACAAACAGAGATAGAGATACAGAATCAGACAAAGAGACAGGGACAGAGACAGACAGACAGTGTGAGACAGAGAGACAGAGATAGAGAGACAGATAAAGACAGTTGGGGAGGGAGGGAGTGAATAACCCAACTCTGGGCAAGGCACTGTGATAAATGCTTTACAAATATCCCATGTGATCCTCAGAGCATTTATTAAGGTCCTACTGTGTGCCAAGCACTGTGTTAAGCACTCAGGATACAAGTGCAAACATGACAGTCCCAACCTTCAAAGACCTCCCATTCTATTGGGGGAAGACAACATATGAAGGGAAGCTGGAAAGGAGGGAGACCAGGAAAGGGTACATCAAGGTGGCTAGCAGGATTTGGAGTCTAGAAAGTGAGTCCAGATGGGAATGACTGAGTATGGCTGGGGCCTCTCTGAAAAGACTGATCCAGGCTGGGAAGTCACCAATTGGGAGAAAGGGTGAAGGTTTCTCTAAGGTGAGAGAGTAAGCAGTGAGGGAGGAGAGGAGTCCTGAGAGTGAGTCAAAATAAGAGTTAAGTGAACGTGGCTTCTCTGGAAATGATCTGGGCTAGGGACTCACCAAATAAGAGAATGGCTACTCTCATTCCACTACTTTGCAAAGGTGAGAGGTTTTAGGTGGTAAAGCACTTCATGTAATATTAGACATTTCTGATACGTTGGTTCATTTTGCTGAAATTTTTTTCTCTATTCTTTGTTTTAAGCTATTTCTGAGAGATCGATGGTGATATGATGGAAATGTAGGTATCAGAAGATATCACTAAAAATGTATTTTTTTAAAAAGGTCACATAGCTGATCTATTAATCTCACTGGTCTTTTAATGATCTCACTATATATTTTTTCAGGAGAACAATTTGACTAAAATGACAAATATTGATTGTAAAGATATTAAAAATTAACAGACTGGCTGAGGTGAGGTGCTATTTCATTTTCCTATTATAAACAGAAATAGCCACAATCTTCATGTCTGCAAGAGCTTACAATTTGGAGGAGGATGTATGTGTGTATGTGTGTGTGTGTGTGTGTGTGTGTGTGTGTGTGTGTTATTTAATGGATGTAAAGCAGTGCAAGGTAGAAAAGGGCCAAACCGTGAAATGTAAGCAGAGGAAACTGTCATACTCTGGTGAGATGTGGGAAAACATAAAATACATTGTGAAAGTAATTCAGAAACTTGGTTTAAATGAGAAAATTATTTTATTTCAGATGAGTGATCTCAGCTCCTAAAACCTCACAAAAATTCATGTTCTCTATAATATTCTCCTCCAGCTTTCCCTTACAAAGCAACTTGCATTAAGGATACAAATCGGAGGAGGGAAGTATTGATGCACTTACCCACTTCCTATCAATGTGAAATTTTCATTTGCTCATTGTTGGATGATTATAAGTGCTAAAAGAACTACAATTTTATTAAGGAAAATGGTTTCTGTTTGATTTCAAAATTCTTTTTTGCCTAGTTATAGAACAGGCTCAATCCAATGGATAAGAGGATTCTTCCAAACCCTCCCTCACCCCTCTAACTTTCCTATTATGACCTAGGGGACCACCATCCCTCTAGTCCCATCCTGTCCCTCAAGCTGATAACCTGGGAATCATCTTCCACTCCTTACTCCCCCCTATAACCAATCTTTTGCCAAGGCCTACCAATTTCCCCTTTGGAATAGCATATGCTCCCATCTCTCCTCAAATACTGCTACCACCTTAGTACAGACCCTCATCATCTCAAATTTGGACTACTGAAATAGCTGGATGTTTGTTCTCCCTGCCTCATCCTTCCCCATTCCACTCTATCTTCCATTCAGCTGTCTAAGTGATTTTCCTATAGTTGTGGGTCCGACCATGTCACTCCACTTCTCATGACCCTCTACTATCTCCAGGATCAAATATAAAATCTTCTGTTTGGCATTCAAAGCCTTCATTACCTGTCTTTCCCCTCACATTTCCAGTCTTCTTATACGTCACACTTCTCTCCCCCCTCCCTGTGATCCTGTGGCACTGTTCTTCTTGCTGTTCCTCAAACAAGACATTTGATCTCCAGACTCCAGGCATTTTCTCTGGCTGCCTCCCAAGCCTAGGATGCTCTCCCCTTTCATCTTTGCCTCCTGGCTGCCTTCAAGTCCCAGCTAAAATCCCATCTACTTTCTGCAGGAAGTCTTTTCCCCCCTATCAATACCTCCTTAATTCTAAAGCCTTCTCTCTGTCTTTATTTCCAATTTATCTAATCTAGAGTTTGTTTATATATAGTCTTTTGCATGTTCTCTCTCCCATTATACCGTGAGCTCCTTGAGGGCAGGGGCTATTTTTTTTCCCTTTCTTGTATCCCCAGACCTTAACAACCAGCAATAGTAAATGTTTATTGACATAGAAGACAATGTAAAATAACTCACTGAAAATAAAAAAAAAAACTGACTGGAAAACAGACTCAGGAAAGATAATTTAAGAATGATTGGATTACCTCAAGACTATGATCAAACAAAGAGCCTGGACAACATCTTTTAAGAAATTATCAAGGAAAACTGCCCTGACATCCTAGAATTAGTTGGTAAAATAGTCATTGAAAGAATGCACTGATGACCTCCTGAAAGAGACCCCAACATGAAAACTCAAAGGAATATTATAGCCAAATTCCAGAATTATCAGGCCAAGAATAAAATACTGCAAGCAGCCAGAAAGAACCATTTCAAATATAAAGGAGCCACAGTCAGGATTACACAGGACTTAGTAGCTTCTACATTAAAGGATCATAAGGCTTGGAATATGATATTCTAGAAGGCAAAGGAGCTTGGATTACAACCAAGAATTAACTACCTAACAAAATTGAGCACAATCTTTTAGGAGAAATATTGGATATTCAATGAAATGGGGGACTTTAAAACTTCTGATAAAAAGACCAGACCTGAAGAGAAAATTTGATCTTGAAATATAAGACTCAAGAGAAACATAAAAAGGTAAACAGGAAGGAAAAACACATGTTATTCAGTAAGATTAGACTGCTCACATCCCTACATGGGAAGATGATACTTGTAACTCTTGAGAATTGTATCTCTCTTAGGGAAGTTAGAAGGCACATAGACAGGGTGTGGGTATAAGCTGACTTTAATTCGATGATACAGAAAAATTAAAGGGTGAAAAAAAGGATTGTACAGGGAAAACAGGAAAGGGGGAGATAGAATAGGTTAAATTATGTTACATGAAGAGGCTCAAAAGTCCTTTTACAGTAGAGGAAAAGAAGGGAGGGGGTGATCATCGTTTGAACCTTACTCTCATTAGATTTGGCTCAAAGAGGGAATAACATACACACTTGGCTGTGTATAGGAATTTATTTTACACTGTAGGGAAGTAGGAGGGGAAAGAGAAAAGAAAAGGAATGGGTGATAGAAGGGAGGGCAGATTGAGAGAGGTGGTGGTCAGAAACAAAATACTGGTGAGGAGGGTCAGGGTGAGAGGAGAGAGAAAAGTATAAATGAGGGAAAAATAAGGTGGAGGGAAAATACATAATTAGTAATCATAACTGTGAATGTGAATGGGATAAATTCTCCCATAAAATGGAAGAGGATGGCAGAGTGGATTAAAAAACAAAATTCTACAAAATGTTGTTTACAAGAAACACATTTGAAGCAGAGAGATAATCACAGAATAAAGTAAAAAGCCTGAGTAGAATATATTACGCTTCAGCTGAAGTAAAAAAAAAGCAGGGGTAGCAAACCCGATCACAGACAAAGTAAAAGCATAAATATATCTAACTGAAAGAGATAAGGAAGGAAACTACATCTTGCTAAAAGGTACCATAGTCATTGAGGCAATATCAATACTAAACATATAGTACACCAAGTACTATAGTATCCAAATTCTTAAAGAAGTTAAGAGAGTTACAGGTTCGTGACCAAACAAGAGATATGATGAAATATAAAATAGATAATTTTGATTATATTAAACTAAAAAACTTTTGCACAAACAAAACCCATGCAACCAAGATTAGAAGGAAAGCAGAAAGACAGAAGCAATTTTTTTAGCCAGTGTTTCTGATAAAGGCCCCATTTGTCAAATATACAGAGAACTGAGTCAAATTTATAAGAATACAAGTCATTCCCCAATCAAAAAATGGCCAAAGGATATGAACAAGCAATTTTCAAATGAAGAAATTAAAGCTATCTATAGTCATATGCAAAAATGCTCTAAATCACTATTGATTAAAGAAATGCAAATTAAAACAACTCCGAGGTACCACTTCAAACCTTTTATATTGGCTAATGTGACAGAAAAGGAAAATGACAAATGTTGGAGATGTGGAAAATTAGAACACTAATGCATTGTTGGTGGAGTTGTGAGCTGATCCAACCATTCTGGAGAGCAATTTGGAACTATGCCCAAAGGGCTATAGAACTGTGCATACCCTTTGATCCAGCAATACCACTACTAGGTCTGTATCCCAAAGAGATCATAAAAATGGAAAAGGACCTATATGTACAAAAAATATTCATAGCAGTTCTTTTTGTGGTGGCAAAGAATTGGAAATTGAGGGAATGCCCATCAATTGGGGAATGGCTAAACAAGGTGTGGTACGTAATGAAATACTATTGCTCTATAAGAAATGATGAGCAGGCAGATTTCAGGAAAACCTGGAAAGACTTACATGAACTGATGCTGAGTGAAGTGAGCAGAACCAGGAGAACACTGTACACAGTAACAGCAACACTGTGTAATGACCAATTTTGATAGACTTAGCTTTTCTCAGCAATACAATGATCAGAGACAATTCTAAAGGACTCACGATGGAAAATGCTGTCTACATCCAGAGAATGAACTACGTAATATGAATGCAGATTGAAGTATACTATTTTCACTTTTTTTGTTTTTTCTTTCTTGTGGTTTTTCCTTTTGTTCTGATTCTTTTTTCACAGCATGACTAATGTGGAAATATGTTTAACATGATTGTACATGTATAACCTATATCAGATTGCTCAGTGTTTTAGGGTCAGGGAGGGATGAGAAGGAGGGAGGGAGAAAAATTTGGAACTAAAAAAAATCTTACAAAAATCAATGTTGAAAACTATCTTTACATGTAATTGGAAAAAAAGAGAATACTATTAAATGTAAAAGAAAAAGTTTATTGACTGATTTGACTTTCAAACCACTTGTGTCAAGAACACTAAAACCCAGGGTCAATTAATCCACAAGCATTTATTAAACTCCCAGTATGTGCCAGGAATAGTGCTAGGGGTTAGGGTTACAAGAGCAAAGAATGAAAGAATTCCTAGTCTCAGGGGACTTTCTTCTAAAGGGGCTGGCAAGACAGGATGAACTACCTGCCAATGAAAATGAAAATGGATTCTCTGGCGGTGCTGGAAACAATAGGGTGGACAGGGAGGATTCCTGCTTGGGGTATATTTGTGTATGGACCTTCACAAGAGACCTCTCTGGTTAACTCCCCTTTACATTATTTTGCCATAGCAGATAAAGAAATTCAGTATAGTTAGACTGCAGTAGAAGAAATGGAACAGTTACAGCTAAAAGTCATCACTTTAAAAGCTGAAAAAAGCTGGGCTTTTACTCTTCATGAATTCAAACTGGCCTATTTGTTCTTTCCTGCAAAGTGTCAAGATGGCAGGATTCAGGCAAGAATCATAGGAGGGGCACTATAGTGATCACAGGACAGTACGCAGCCCCTAATTATTCTCTTCTGGATGTGCTTGAGCAGTGGGCAGTGGTCAAAAGCAAAAGACTTTTGAGGAGGGACAGGACAAAAAGAGAGAAGAAACAGAAGAAAATAGAATGGAGGGAAATACTCAGTAATCATAACTATGAATATGAATTGGATACGCTACCCATAAAACAGACACGTATACTAGAACAGATTAGAAACTAAATTGCAAAAATATGCTGTGTCCAAGAGACACACTTGAAACAGAAAGACATGCAGGGTTAAAATAAAGGGCTGTAACAGAATCTACTATGCTTTAGCTGAAGTAAAAAAGACAGGGATAGGGGCAGCTAAGTGGCGTAGTGGAAAGAGCATTGGCCCTAGAGTCAGGAGGACCTGAATCCAGCCTTAGACATATAATATTTCCTAGCTGTGTGACTCTGGGCAAGCCACTTAACCCCAACTGCCTCCTCAAAAAAAAAAGAAAAAAGGCAGGGATGGAAATCATGATCTCAGAGAAAGCAAAAATAGATCTAATTAAAAGAGATAATCAGGGAGACTACATTTTGCTAAAAGGTACCAGAGACAATGAAGTAATATAAAAAAATTTATAGCAAGTTTCTCTGTTAAAGGCCTCATTTCACAAATATATAGGGAATGGAATCAAATTTATAAAAATAAGAGCCATTACCCAATTGAAAAATGCTCAAAAGGTATGAACAGGTAGTTTGCAGAAGAAATCAAAGCTACCTAGTCACATAAAAATGCTCTAAATCACTACTGATTAGAAAAATACAAATTAAAACAACTCTGAGGTACCATTTCACACCTATCGGAAATGGCAAATGCTGGAGGGGATGAGGAAAAATTCGTACATTAATGAACTGTAGGTTGTATAGTGAACTAGTCTAACCATTCTGGAGAACAACCTGGAACTATGCCCAAATAGGTATAAAACTACGCATACCTTTTAGTCTAGTCATACCACTACTAGGTCTATACTCCAAAGAGTTCAAAGAAAAAGGAAAAGGACCTTTTAAAAATACTTATAACAGCTCTTTCATGGCAGCAAAGAACTGGAAACTGAGGGGATGATCATCAATTGGGGCATGGCTGAACTAACTGTGGGACATGACTGTGATGGAATATCACTGTATCACAAGAAATGATGAGGAGGCTGGTTTCAGAAACACATGTGAAAATCATATGAGCTAACGCAAAGTGAGATCATTGTGTACAGTAACATCAATGTTGTAATGGTTATCAACTATGAAAGACTCGGCTACCCTGATTAATACAATGATCCAAAACAATTCTAAAGACTCATGGTGTAAAAATGCTATCCACCTCCAGAGAGAGAGAACTAATGAACTCTAAGTGCAAAATGAAATATAATTTTCTTGCTTTCTTTATTTTTTTGCTTTGTCTTGTGATATGGCTAATAAGAAAATATGTTTTGCATTATTTCACATGTATAACTAATATAATATTGTTTGTTTTCTCAGGGGTAGGGGAGACGTGGGAGGGAAGAGAATCTGGAACTCAAAATTTAAAAGAAAAGAATGTTAAAAATTAATAAATGATGTGTTTTTTTAAAAAAAAAGAATCAGACTCATATTTTAAAAACTCACAATAACTCACAGAGTAGGAGTGATTCCCACTTTATTCTTCTAACCAACAGGCTGTTCCTTGGTATTATTGCTCAAGGGCCATGATCTGACTTTATGTATTGATGACACATGCTGCTAAGTGGTTTAGTAGGATGTTCTAACCAGTGACAAATTCAGTGGAAAGAAAAATCAAGGATTAGAAAGTCTTAGGAGTTCTTAATGTGAAGAATTAAAATGTGTGCCAGTAAGATCAAGACAGCAGTACAGAGATGCCTTTACCTTAATTGAGCCATTAGTTTTTCTACTGTTTCCTTGACACAGGTGCTTTGAGGAGGCTTTACCAAAGAAACAGCAAAATCTTCCTTCATAAACCCTTCTTCTTTCTTCCATGGGTATGGACTTAAATCATCTGTTGATAGACTGAACATAAATAAAGCAAGGCTTATCATTTTAAATCTAGGGTCAATTCAGGCACAAATATGAGTTTTCTTTGGTGAAACTCTAAAAAAAAATTAGTAGGAATGAGGACTTGAACTGTGATTTCACCAGTACAGGTAATTCCCTCTACCAATACAGGTCAATATGTTCTCTGAAAAAAAGTAGCCCATAGTAGTGAGAAGTTAAGTGATTTTCCTAGGGTCACACAGTCAGAATCTGTCACAGGGATGACTTAAGTCCAGTTCTTTCTAGCTTTGAGGCCATCTTACTATACACTATGCCTCATGACCTCTCAAATATTATTAGGAGAAAAGAAATTAAAGAAATGTAATAATGAAAACCTCTTTTTGGGTGGTTATGCTAATTACTTTTAGATTGGGTTAAATTCCAAAGACTCTGGAAAATGTTGCTTTCAACTTTTTTCTGACACAATTTGGGCAGAATGTGTGATAATTTCCTTTATTAACAGAATGCCTTTGTTTCTTTCTTACTTTTGCTGCCTTGCGAGGAAGGTTTTTCAACTAAAACATTTCCCCAGTTCAGACATGTTGGGGCTGCTCCGCTTAGGGGGCCTCAGTCTGAGAGGAAATACTATCTACATGCAGAAGGCAGGGGAGTTAGGGAATAGGGGACAGGTTTCTAAATTCTAGCTCACCCTGAGTCGGGTCTTCACAAACTTTGTTATTTTGTTGGAAAATGCTCCAATACTCCAAAGGATAACTGATGGGAGTGTTTCCTCCTCACAGTGCAGAGCAAACCACCTGCTCATCTGGTGCAGTTCTCATCCACGTCCCCCTGTAAGTCTGCAATGGGAGGACCCATTTACTGGGCTCTCCTCGTGTCTTCCTGAGGGCACGTGGAAGCCAATGGAGGATGCTGACTGAGAACTGACTATTCTTTACTCCCCATGTGACCAGTCCTTCCTTATTTTTCCTGGTGGTATTTCTTTGAGGACTTCTTTCACACATCCTCTCCTGTGTGCTTCCTTCTTGGCAATGCATGGCAGTCTACTTGCATTCACCGTGTGCCTCTCCACTGCCCTTTGGATGATCTTCATCTTCAGCTGTTCCAAGTATCTTGACTGAAGTATCTCACGATTCAAAGCCATACATCATTAGAGCAAAAATAATGCTACATAAAAAAAAATATGAGCTTTTGTTTCAGAAAAAGGCTTGAGGTCATTAAAATAACTATGCCATTTATCAATGGTAATCCACGGATCTTCCTTCCTCTTGTTCTTGGATTTAAAATCAGACTCAGGCATTTTCTCCTGGTGTGACTCTGGGAAGCTACTTAATCTGAATGCTTCTGTTTCTTCAACTATAAAATGGGAATAATAATAACATCTACATTGTAGGGTTGTTGTGAGAATCAAATGAATCAAAAGCATTTAGCGCAGTACCTGGCATATAGGCACGAAATAAATGCATCTTTCCTTCTTCCCTTCCTGTTTAATTTTAGGCAATTTGTTGTGCTTCAAAGGAAGAGGGAGGGGACAGTACAGAACAGTGGATAGAAAACCATTCTCAGAGTCAGGAAGGCTTGGGTTCAAGTCTCATCTCTGAGACGTATTGACTGTGTGACCTTGGACAAGTCACTGACTTCTCAGTGCTTAAGACAACTCTCTAAGACCATAAATTGTAGAGAAGGTACCTAACTGCAATGGTAGAGGGAATTTCCACATCAGGGGGTAGGAGATTCCTATTCTAATAAAATCACAGTTCTAGGCCCTACACACACACACACACACACACACACACACACACACACACACACACACACAAGGATGGACAAATTTTATAGTTTGTCCATCGAAGTGAGTACCATAATGTGTACCTTAGATTTTTTTTACTTGGGTTTTTCACATGTAGATTGCTAGACTAAACTCTTTTGAGTGACATTAAATCTCATTTAGGCATTGATGCATGTTCCAGGGCTCGATGAAATCTGCACAAGGATGCGTGTCAACCTTTAAATAAGTTTATTAGTAAGCAAGCTGTTAATCATAGACACACTTAGAGTCAAGTGTGGGGATATGTTTGTAAGACAGCTTGTGCAATACAGACAACACATCTATAACAACACAATAAACACACTTGAACACCAAATGTAGATTAATTTTTAGATTGTTAGAGGATTACCTAGATCACTTCAATGTATCATTTGCCAAAAATTATGCCATTTCTTATTGTAAAAATTAGAAAAGCCTGATTGATCTAAGCCAGGGGTCATCAAACTATAGGTCTGCTGGCCAAATCCAGCTGTTTGTTTTTATATGGCTTGAGAGCGGAAAATATTTTTTTTAATTTTCAAATAAAATTTTATTATATTTAAAAATATAAAGGCTATTCTTAGCTCATGGTCAGTACAAAAACAGGTGGCTGAATTTGGCCCTCAAGCAGCAATTTGCCACCCCTGATCTAAGCAATCAATCAACAACCACATGTTGTTTGCTCAGCTCTGATCCTTGGTGTGGTTACCTCTTCCAACTACACAGATGGCAGCTCAATTATGCCTTCTCATCCTGTGCAACTCTTGCCCATGACCTCCAACATATTCTCCACAAAAGGGCCTCCTCTAGCATAGTGGTTTTCCTCTAAATGTCTTGACAAAGTATGGGTACCAGTGGAACACATAGGCTATCCATTGGTCATCCCTTGCTTTGATTACATGGGGTCACTGAATCATAGATTCAGAGCTAGAATGCATCTTGTGGCCACTGAGTTCCTCGTTTTACAGATGGGGAAATTGAGGCATTTTTCTCAGTCCAACTCTTCTTGACTCCATTTTGGGGTTTTCTTGGCAAAGATCATAAAGTGGTTTGCCATTTCCTTCTTCAGCTCATTTTTTTTTTCTTTTTACAGATGAGTAACTAAGACAAACAGGATTAAGTGACTTGCCCAGAGTCACACAGCTAGTAAGTGTCTGAGGCTGGATTTGAACTCATAAAGATGAGTCTTCCTAAATCCAAAGTCAGTGCTTTATCCATTGTGCTACCTAGCTGCCCTAAATTGAGATATAGAAAGACGTAATGCCCAAGTCACAGAGCAGTCCAAAAATATTACCAGAGAAATTTGTAATTTCGCTACTAGTTGGCAAAGAATATCTAATTAGATAATTTAGCCTGGAACACTTCCTACACAATGGTACCCATATATACAAGTCATGAATTAAAATGGTCTTCTTATGGCATCATGAGTTTATTTATTAACAACAAATGTGCACATCATGTTGATGTCCATGCAAACAGTTATAGTGTTGTTTATACTTTCAGGTTCTTCTTGAAATTAGAGATTTAATACCAAATGAAAAATTCTATTGCCAACATAACTCTCTGGCATTAATTACCTTGTCTAAATTCAGTTGAGTTTGTGTAGATTAAGAACACTATATATTCTAATGCTTAATTGTCTGTTAAGAACACTGAACAATGTGTCTGAATGCTCATTAATTATCCTCCTTTATGTCAGAAACCTTATTTAGAAAGATGTTTTGCCTTTTTAGTGAAGCTAGTAAGTGTTGCGGCAACTTATTAAAATGCTTTGTACAGAAGTACATTGGTTGGAAAAGTCCTTTTGCTACCAGCTTCTGTGTTCCCTTGGCCATATTTTCTCACATGGGGATTGCATTTCTGGATCAGGGACAAATTATTTTTACAAAGTCTCATTAAATCTTGAAAGTACCATTTTAGATAAGCAATCTCTCAAAAACAAAACAAAACAAGCCTATATCCCACAGCTGCCATATTTATTATATGTCATTTTTCCTGGAGAATTAAAAAAAATTACTAAATATTTTATGAACAGCTCCAGGTTCCCCAGAAGCTTTGTCCATAACAAGGCTTACCAAAAGGACAGACTTAAAAAAAAAAGCATCAGAAAAACATCTGCAGCAAAAGCTTTTTTTCCACCAATGTTATGACAATGTATTCAAGTGCAAAGATCCAACACATTCACATCGATTTACATAAACACAATTATGTTTATTTCATGGATTCCCAGCATGCACTTCTCCATTGTGCAGGTGCAGTCAAATAAAAGCTTTTGCTCTTGCCACTTGTTTTTTTAAGATGGAGAGGGACTAAACCTGTGATTTCACTGGCAGAGGAAATGGTGAGGAAACCCCCTCTCTCAGTCAGTCAATCAATCAATAAGCACTTATTAAGCACCTACTATGTGCCAGGCAACGTGCTAACTGCTGGGGATACAAAAGGAGACAAAGGACAGTCCCTGCTTTCAAGAAACTCAGTCCAATGGGGGAGACCACAGGCAAGCAATTATATACAAATATTCAGGATAAATTGTAGATGAGCAACCAAAGAAAGGCACTAGAATTAAGAGGAATTGAGGATCCTGTAGGAGGTGGGATTTTAGCTGGGCCTTGAAGGAAGCCAGAAGCCAAGGGGCAGAGATGAGGAGGGAAGGCATTCTTGGCATAAGGGACAGTCAGAGAAAGTGCCCAGAGTCTGGTGATGGAGTATCTTATGTGAGGAATAGCCAGGAGGCCACTCTCATTGGATCTCAGAGCAGGGGTGAGGGGCTGTATAAGGTGTAAGAAGACTAGAAAGGTAAAGGGGACAGGTTATGAAAGTCAATATCTATTTTGTAGAGTTTTGCAAAAGTACTTAGAACAATGAGAGGTTAAGTTTCTTGCCCAGGGTCATACAACCAGTAAGTGTTAGAGGAAAGACTGCAAGAAGACTTCCTGTCTTCTGGGCTGGCTCTCTGTCCTCTCTGCCAGGAGTGGGGAACCTGTGGCCTCGAGGCCACATGTGGCCCTCTAGGTCCTCAAGTGCAGCCCTTTGATTACATCACACTTGAATCCAAACTTTCAGTCAAAGGGCCAAACTTGAGGACCTAATGGACACATGTGGCCCGGAGGCCGCAGGTTCCCCACCCTTGATACCATGCTGCCTCTCTTAAACGCTTTGTCTTATCTTCATATTTGTAATGGCTTTCCTAATTCTTGCCTTCTCAATGGGCAGAGAACTGGGTGGGAGGAGGGAAAGAATTTGAAATGGAGAATCAAATAAAATTGGAAAAAACATAAAAACTCTTTGTCTTTTAACATAACATATACAAAAAAGCAAAACTTTAAAAACATTATTGATTATGTTGAATGAAATGATGTACCTTAATTGAATTATTTTCCACATTCTATAGAAGACCTTTCCTGGTGTCTCTCTATATATTCTCTGAACCCCCACCCCTGACCCTAGTACCTTCCCACTGAGATATCTTTCCATTTATACAAGGGATTTTTAACCTTTCTGTGTCATGGACCCCTTTGGCAGACTGGTGAAGTCTATGGATCCCTTCTCAGAATCATGTTTTTAAATGCATAAAATAAAATACATAGGATTACAAAGAAAACTATTTTGAAATACAATTATCAATTTTGTTAAAGTTCACAGATTAAGAACTCTTGCTTTATACATATATGTATATATAGATATATGTATCTATATGTATAAGTATATACATATGTATGCATATATGTATAAATTATAAGTACACTTACTTACATATTGTCTCTCCCACTAGAATGTGAGTTCTTGGAGGTCAGGGACTGAGTTTCTGCCTTTTTATTTTGTATCCCCAGCACTTAGCATAGTGCCTGGCACATAGTAAGTGCTTAATAAATGGACCCTGACTAACTGTTCCAAACATCTGAAAGATCTTTGCAGAATTGATTTCATTTCTTCAACATAAACAAAACCAGCAGCCTGGAAACAACAGGTTGGGGTGGGGATAGGAGGGTGGAAATGTTGAGACTGCTCATATTAGATTGCTTAAGGACTGCTTAAGACCTGGAAGGAACCTTAGCTAGTCCCCTCATTTTATAGTGGAGCAAACTGAGAAATGCCTTGAACTTCACATAGTTAAAGTGAAGCAGGGAGGGGCTAAATGCTTCTCATGGGAACCACAAAGCGAGTACATGAGAGGAAGAAAATGGCAGCTTTGCTCTTGCAAGTCCTGTGGTGGTTTCCTATTAAGCTGGACTAAATTTGCCTTCTCTCTGCCAAATACAAGATCTTCTGTTTCCAAGGTATGCATTTCCTAGGTATGCTCATTTTCTTCTTAATCAAGACATTCTTTACCCTGGATAAAATCTACCAGGCACTTAAAAAAAATCAGAGATCCAATTTGATTCAGTTAGCCACATGCCTTCTAAGACTGAAGATCTGAAAACTTGAGATTATTTTATTTTTAAAAATTTTCATGAGTTTCAAGTCAGGGAAATGCTGGTATCTTAAGAAGCTGGCTACAATTACATAGATGAGATGTGATGGCAAAGTAATGAGACTGATTCCAAAAGCCATACCGGGAAATCAGTTTCATTCCTTTATAAGCATACCTCAGGCAGGTCCCATTTTCTATTCTGTGACAGCTTTACAATAATTTGGATTAGTTACTCCTTGTGAGAACCAAGTATAATATGCCCTATTTCATTACCACATGAGTGATAAAGAACATGAAGAATGGTAAACATTCTGGATCCCTGTCCCCTGAGGGAAATATGAAATGAAAAAAAGGACTGAGAATAGGAGTTCTTAACTTTTTTTGTGTCCCAGACCCCATTAGCAGGCTAGTGAAGATTATGGACCCCCCCACCTCTCAGAATAAGATTTTTAAAAGCATAAATAAAGGACATTGTATTACAAAAAAAAAAATTATACTGAAATAGAGATTAACTTTTTTTCCTATGCAGATTTACAAACCCACTGAAATCTATGGACCCCAACTAGGAAACCCTGATTTAGAAGAAAGTCAAGAAGAAAACATGGTACAGTGTTAAGAGCGTGAACTGTGAAATCAGATGACCTGGGTTCATACCCCATTTCTGATTCGCACTAGCCCAGTGACCTTAGGTATGCCACTTAACCTCTGTGGACCTCAGTTTCCTCATCTGTAAAATGAGGGAAGGTTGGCCTGAGGTATCATCCAGATTTAGATTTATGAGATTCATCCTCATAGTGTTTCTTTCCTCCACATAATTTGGTCCCCACTCATCATCTCCTGTGTTTGTTACCATTATTTTGCTCTTCTTGTACTTCAACACTGATAATTGCATTTCAACAGTATAATTAAAATTACTTTGAGTCTCTGTAATTGCTGTAGTCTCACCTTTCCAAGTTAAGTGGTGAAGAGTTTCGTTTTATTTTTGGAGTATCAGCACACGGTTTCAGTTTATCTTCCACTGAGACTAACCCTTGTAAAAGGAAAACAATCACATTTTGATGATGAGACAATAACCCAAAAGAAAAAGCATGTCAATTAAAAAAAAATAACAACCCATCCACAAACAATTTGTCCCTGTATTAAAACATCCATCTGTAAAACAGTACCAAGGTATTCTCTGGGTAATTTAAAACCATCTTTCTGCAAAGTGTTTAAGATGATGATCCAAGAGACACTAGATGTAATTGGTTTTCATTACCTGCTATTCATGGTTACACATGATAACTACTCAGGAGTAAGTCAGATTCCTCATTCCCATTCTTCCGCCAACCTCTCCCACCCTCTTTCCCCGAGATCTTTATCACCCTGCAAAGAGGCCTTTGGAGGGATGTAGGATTACTGAAAGTAAAAGTTAGGAAGGACTTGAGAAAACCAAGGGGAGTACTAGATTTGTAGTCAAAGGATCTGAATTCAAAATACTGGCTTAATGACCTTGGACAAGTCAGTTTCCTCCTTGTATAATGAAAGGGTTAGATTAGAAGACCTCTAATGTCCTTTTGTGGCAGTTAGATGGCTCAGTGGATAAAGTGCTGGGTCTGGAGTTGGGAAGACCCAGGTTCAAATCCTGCTTGAACACTTACTGTATAACCATGGGCAACTCACTTAATCCTTTTTGCCTCAACTTCCTCATCTGTAAAATGAGCTGGAGAAGGGAACTACAAACGATTGCAGTATCCTTGCCAAGAAAACCGCAAAGACAGTATTGGTGTGCTATGGCCCACAGGTCACGAAGAATCAGACATGACTAAACCAATGAACAACAAGGTACTTTCCAGGTCTCTATTTATGAAAAACGCCTCCTTTTACAGGTGAGTAAACTGAGTTCCAGAGTGACATGACTTGCCCAAGGTAATCAAGTTAGGCAGCAGCAGAACAAAAGGGTAAGCAGTTCTCCTGGGTGAGGAACAGAATGAGCCAGGGTTCTCCTAAGGCAGGACAACCCCAGCATCCTCTGGGATATATATACATTTCAACCTTTTGTCCCTTTGGAGACCTTTGTACCCTTAAGATATGATTTGGGTCACGTTAGTATACGTAAATGTTCTTTACCTAATTGGCCAATAAATTCAGAAGGAAGTAATTATTTGTAATACTGCACAATGTGTTAACAACCCCCTATTTTTCCTTTCATATTATTTGGTCTATTATTTTGGAAACAGTATCTTATGTTTTCCAATTCTATGTAAAGACAGTTTTCACCATTCATTTTTTATAAAATTTTGAGTTCCAAATTTTTTCTCCCTCCCTTCCATCCCCCTTCTGCAAGATGGCAAGCAATATAATACAGGTTACACATGTGCAATCTTGGAAACATATTTCTACATTAGTCATGTTGAAAAAGAAGAAACAGAACAAAAGATAAAAGTCACAAAGAACAAAAAACAAAAAAAGTGAAAATAGTATGTTTTCATCTGCATTCACAATCCATAGTTCTTTCTTTGCATGTGGGTAGTATTTTCCACCATAAGTCCTTTGGAATCGTCTTAGATCCTTGTATTGCTGAGAAGAGCTAAATCAAACATAGCTGATCATTGCACAATGTTGCTGATAAAGTGTACAATGTTCTCCTAAATTCTGCTCACTTTATTCAGAATCAGTTCATGTAAGTCTTTCCAGGTTTTTGTGAAATCTGATTGTTCATCATTTCTTTCTTTCTTTCTTTCTTTTTTTTTTTTTTTTGCTTTTTTGGTGAGGCAATCGGGTGAAGTGACTTGCCCAGGGTCACACAGCTAGTAAGCATCAAGTGTCTAAGGCTAGATTTGAACACAGGTCCTCCTGACTCCAAGGTCAGAGCTCTATCCACTGCACCATGCAGCTGCCCCTGTTCATCATTTCTTATAGCACAATAATATTCCATTATAATCATATACCACAACTTGTTCATCCTTTCCCCAACTGATGGCATTCCCTCAATTTCCAATTCTTTGCCACCACAAAAAGAGTTGTTATAAATATTTTTGTAAACTAAAAAGCTTATGGAAGTGATTGTTGATAAATCAAAATAAATTAATAAAAAATATTTTTGTATACGTAGACCCTTAGCCTTTTTTAATATGTCTCTGGGATATAGACCTAATAGTGGTATTGCTGGATCAAAGAGTATGCACAGTTTGATTGCCCTTTGGGCATAGTTCCAAATTGCTCTCTAGAATGGTTGGATCATTTACAACTCCACCAACAATGTATAAGTGCTCCAATTTCCCCACATCTTCTCAAACATTTATCATTTTCCTTTTCTGTCACATTAAACAATCTGATAGGTGTGAGGTGGTACCCTGGAGTTATTTTAATGTGCATTTTTCCAATCAAAAGTGATTTAGAGTACGTCTTCAAATGCCCAGACAGCTTTTACTTCATCTGAAAACTGCCTGTTCATATCCTTTGACCATTTATCAGCTGGGGAATGACTTGTATTCTTATACATTTGACTCAGTTTTCTATATATTTGAGAAGTGAGGCCTTTATCAGAAACACTGGCTATACAAATTATTTCTCATCTTTCTGCTTTCCTTCTAATCTTGGTTGTGTTGGTTTTGTCTGTGCAAAACCTTTTAAATTTAATGTAATCAAAATTATACATTTTGCATTTCACAATGTTCTCTACCTCTTATTTAGTCATAAATTCTTCCCTTCTCCATAGATCTGAGAAGTAAACTATTCCGTGCTCTCCTAATTTGCTTATGGTATCACCCTTTATATCTAAATAACGTATCCATATTTACTTCATCTTGGTACAAGGTGTGAAACATTGGTCTATGCCTAGTTTTTGCCTTACTATTTTCCAGTTTTCCAGTAGTTTTTGTCAAATAGTGAGAAGCTGGAGTCTTTGGGTGTATCAAACAGTAAATTACTACAGTCATTTACTACTATGTCTTGTGTATCTAATTTATTTCACTGATCCAACACTCTATTTCTTAGCCAGTACCAAATAGTTTTGATGATTGTCACTTTATAATATAGGTTTAGATATGGTAAAGCCAGGCCACTTTCCTTTGCATTTTTTATTAATTCCCTTGATATTCTTGATCTTCTGTTCTTCCAGATGAATCTTGTTATTATTTTTTCTAGCTCTGTAAAATAATAGTTTAGGCAGAATTGTCATTTTTATTATATTAGTTCAGCCTACCCATGAGCAACTGATATTTTTCCAATTGTTTAGATCTGACTTTATTTATGTGAAATGTGTTTTGTAACTGCCTTCATATATTTCCTGGGTTTGTCTTGGCAAGCAGGTTCCCAAATATTTTATATTGTTTACAGTTACTTTAAATGGAATTTCTCTTTCTATCTCTTGCTGCTGGGCTTTATTGGTAACATAAAGATGCTAATGATTTATGTGTTTATTTTATATCCTTTGACTTTGCTAAAATTGTTAATTATTTCAAGTAGTTTCTTTAGTTGATTCTCTAGGATTCTCTAAGCATACCATCATATCATCTGCAAAGACTGATAGTTTTGTTTCCTCGTTGACTATTCTAATTCCTTCAATTTCTTTTTCTTCTCTTATTACTAAAGCTAACATTTCTAGTACAATATTGAATAATGGTGGCAATAATAGGCATTCCTGTTTCACCCTTGATCTTATTGGGAAGACTTCTAGTTTGTCCCCATTACAGATAATGCTTGCTAATGGTTTTAGATACTATTTATTTTAAGGAAAACTCTATTTATTCCTATGCTCTGTAGTATTTTTGATAGTAACGGGTGCTATATTTTGTCAAAAGCTTTATCTGCATCTATTAAGATAATCATATTATTTTTGTTGGTTTTGTTTTTGATACGGTCAATTATGCTGATAGTTTTCCTAATAGTGAACCAGCCCTACATTCCTGGTATAAATATCACCTGATCACAGTGTATTATCCTTGTGATAAATTGCTTCAATCTCTTTCCTAACACTTTATTAAAAACTTTTGCTTCAATATTCATTGGGGAAATTGGTCTACAATTTTCTTTATCTATTTTGACTCTTCCTGGTTTAGGTATCAGCACCATATTTATGTAATAAAAGCAATCTGGCAGAATTCCTTCTTTGCCTATTTTTCCAAATAGTTTACATAGTATTGGAATTAATTGTTCTTTAAATGTTTGGTCGATTTCATTTAGAAATCCATCTGTCCCTGGAGATTTTTTCCTCAGGGAGTTCACTGATGGCTTGTTCAATTTCTTTTTCTAAAATAGGGCTAAGGATCTTATTTCCTTTTCTATTAATCTCGGCAATTAATATTTTTTGTAAATATTCACCCATTTCACTTAGATTGTCAGATTTACAGGCAAAGAGTTGGGCAAAATAGCTCCTAATTATTATTTTGATTTCCTCTTCATTGGTGGTGAATTCACCCTTTTCATGTTTGAGACTTGTAATTTGGTTTTCTTCTTTCTTTTTTTTTTCATGAAACTAACCAAAGTTTTATCTATTTTATTGTTTTTTCCCATAAAACCAGTTCTTAGTTTTATTAGTTCAATAGTTTTCTTAATTTCAATTTTATTAATCTCTTCTTTGATTTTTCAGAATTTCTAATTTGGTATTTAATTGAGGATTTTTAATTTGTTTTTTTTTTTCCCTCTATTTTTTTAAATTGCATTTCCAATTCACTGATTTGCTTTTTCTCTATTTTATTCATGTAAGCATTTAGAGATATAAAATTTCCCCTAGTTACTGTTTTCGCTTCATTCCATAAATTCTGGTATATTGTCTCATTATTGTCATTCTCTTTGATGAAATTATTGATTGTTTCTCTGATTTGTTGTTTTATTTAGTTTCCAATTATTTCCATAGCCTTTATTATATGTAATTTTATTGTACCATGATCTGAAAAGAATGCATTTAATATTTCTGCCTTTCTGCATTTGAATGTGAGATTTTTAATGCCTTAATAAATGGTCGATTTTTTTTTATAGGTGCCATGTACTGCTTAGAAAAAGGCATATTCCTTTCTATCTCTACTCAATTTTCTCCAGAGGTCTATCATATCTAACTTTTCTAACATTCTATTCACCTCCTTAACTTCTTTCTTGTTTATTTTGTGGTTAGATCTATCTATTTCTGAGAGGGGGATGTTGAGGTCCCCTATTAGTATAGTTGTACTGTCTATTTCTTCCTGTAACTCACTTAATTTCTCCTGTAAGAATTTGGATGCTATACCATTTGATGCATATGTTTAGTATTGACATTACTTCATTGTCTATGGTATCCTTAGCAAGATGTAGTTTCCTTGGGGCAGCTAGGCAGTGCAGTGGATAGAGCACTGGCCCTGAAGTCAGGAGGACCTGAGTTCAAATTCAGCCTCAGACCAAACACTTGACACTTACTAGCTGTGTGACCCTGGGCAAGTCACTTAACCCCAATTGCCTTAAAAAAAAAAAAAAGGATGTAGTTTCCTCCTTGTCTCTTTTAATTAGATCTATTTTTGCTTTTGCTTTGTCTGAGATCAGGATTGCTACCCCTGATTTTTTTACTTCAGCTGAAGCATAACAGACCCTGCTCCGGACCTTTACCCTTATTCTGTGTGTTTCTCTCTGCTTCAAATGTGTTTCTTGTAAACAACATATTATAGGATTCTGTTTTTTAGTTCACTTTGTTATCCACTTCTGTTTTATGGGATAGTTCACCCCATTCACGTTCACAGTTATGATTACCAACTGTGTATTTCCCTCGATCCTACTCTTCCCATTTATACTTTTTTTTCGCTCTCTCCTTTCATCCTGTCCCTCCTTACCAGTGTTTTGTTTCTGACACCACCTCTCTCAATCTGCCCTCCCTTCTATTACTCTCTCCCCTTTCTTTTCCCCTCACTTCCCTATATGGTAAGATAGATTTCTTTACCCAACTGAACGTGCATGTTATTCCCTCTTTGAGCTAAATTTGATGAGCGTAAAGTTCAAACAATGCTCACCCCCTCCCTTCTTCTCCTCTATTGTAATAGATCTTTCATACCTCTTCACGTGATATAATTTACCCCATTCTGGCTCCCCCTTTCCTCTTCTCCTAGAACAATCCTTTTTTTCACTCCTTAATTTTTTTCATCATCACATCAAAGTCAACTTATACCCACACTCTCGGTCTAAGTTTACTCCTTCTAACTGCCCTAATAAAATACAGTTCTGAAGAGTTACAAGTATTATCTTCCCGTGTAGGGATGTAAACAGTTTAACCTTATTGAATGCCATGTGCTTTTTTTTTCTTTCCCTTTTACCTTCTTCTGTTTCTCTTGACTCTAGTTTTGTGGATCAAATTTTCTGTACAGCACTGGTCTTTTCATCAGGAAAGTTGGATAACCAGGAAAGTTCAATTTCACTGAATGTACATCTTTTCCCCTAAAAGATTATGCTCAATTTTTGCTGGGTAATTGATTTTTGGTTGTAATCCAAGCTTCCAAAATATCATATCCAGGCCTCCTGATCCTTTAATGTAGAAGCTGCTAAGTCCCATTTAATCCTGTGGCTCTTTTATATTTGAATTGTTTCTTTCTTGCTGTTTGCAGTATTTTCTCCTTTACCTGACAAATCTGGAATTTGGCTACAATATTCCTTGCAGTTTTCATTTTGAGATCTTTCAGGAGGTCATCAATGGATTTTTCAATGACTATTTTACCTCTGGTTCTAGGACATCAAGGCAGTTTTCCTTGATAACTTCTTGAAAGATGCTGTCCAGGCTCTTTTTTTGATCATGGCCTTCAGGTAGTCTAATAATTCTTAAATTATCTCTCCTGGATCTATTTTCCAGGTCAGTAGTTTTTCCAATGACGTATTTTACATTTTCTTCTATTTTTTCATTCTTTCAATTTTGTTTGACTGATTCTTGATGTGTCATGGAGTCATTAGCTTATACCTTGCCCAATTCTAATTTTTAGGGAATTATTTTCTTCAGTTATCTTTTGTACCTCCTCTTCCATGAGGTCATTTCTACTTTTAAAGGAATTGTTTTCTTCGGTAGATTTTTTTCCATCTTGCCGATTCTATTTTTTAAGGACTTGTTTTCTCCAGTCAATTTTTGTGCTTCCTTTTCCAAGCTGTTGATACTTTTTTTTCATAATTCTCTTGCATAACTCTCATTTCTTCCCCCAATTTTTCTTGTCCTTGCTTGATTTTTAAAATCCTTTTTGAGCTCTTCCAAGAGAACGTTTTGGGCTTGAGACCAATTCACATTCCCCTTTAAGGCTCCTCATGTAGGCATTTTGATACTGTTGTCCTCTTCTGAGTTTGTGTTCGGATGTTCCCTGTCATCATAGTAGCTTTCTATGGTTAGGGCTCTTTTGTTAAAGTTGAGCTCTGCTCCTGGGGCACTGTCCCAAGCTTCTTGCACTGGAGGCCAGGGGCCTGGTCACTGGCTTTCTGTGCTGAGGCCTCTGGGGTGGGGGCCTGCTCACTGTGCTAGGGTGGCCCAGCCTAATTGCACCTGTTGGGCCTTGGGACCCAGGGCTGGCAGTTTGCCTTCTTTTCTGGGGCTGGAGGCCTCATAGCAGGTCTGATGTACCACTAGCCTGCTTAGCCAGGACCCCGGGGCCTTGGGTGCTAATCTTTCCTGTGACTAATAGCTTCTGGCTTGCTTGCCTGGACACTGCCTGCAGGGGGCTTTGCTCCCCTTTTACCCAAGTGAAAAAGACCTTTCCTGAAGTCCTTTTAAGTTGTCTGGGGCGGAAAAATTGTTTCAGTTAGTCTTTTGGTGAATTCTGCTGCTCCAGAATTCTTTTAGAGGCTTGATTTAATGATGTTTCTGAAGGAAACTAGGGAGAGCTCAAGCAACTTCCTGGCTACTCTCCACCATATTGGTTCTGCCTAACAGCACTTTTGCCACAACAATTTGAGAATATAATAGGAAGAAACTTTTAGCCACAAGGAAGCATTGCAATCTCTGGTTAGTAGATGTGTGTCAGGAACCAAGATCAGATGATGCAAAAAAGCAATCTGCCTTGGGTTTCCTTACCCAATCATGGCCCAAACTGCTAGGAATCCAGGGTCCTCATGGTTTTCCCTTTGTCCCCAGACTTTTATAATGGAGGTGCCCTCTCTGGCTACTGCCCCCTTATTTGGACCATTCCAGTACTCTCCAATACCTTCAATTAAAACTTATACTCTTCTCATGGGGCCCTGCTTTCTAAACATTTTAGCTGGCTACTTAAAAGTAGTGAAATTAGAGTTTTAGGCTATATCCTAATTCTATTTAGGGTGTGATGTTGCTTAAGTCACATCACTCCTCTGATCCTCAAGGTTCCTGTAGGATTGTAACCTCCTTGAGGGCAGGGACAGTCTTTTGCCTCTTTTTTGTATTCCCAGCATTTAGCATAGTGCCTAACACAAAGTAAGTGTTTAATAAATGTTTATTGATGGATTATCATTATCTAATCCATCTATTCCTTATCAACTATGACCTTCTCTTATTCTAAAATAATTTATAATAATGAATGAATTGAACATAATAATTACAAAACAATAATTAATTGAGTACAATAAGCAGTTATGAAGTATCTACTATGCCCAAGGCAGAGGTAACAAAGTGGACAAAATGCTGAACCTCCAGTCAGATTGATGAAAGTTCAAATCCTTCTCACAAGCTTAATAGTTGTGTGATCCTGGGAACATCAATTAACTTCCTTTGGTCTCAATTCCTCATCTGTACGAATAAAGGGGCTGAATTGTGAAAATGGACAACTGTGAAAGATTTAAAGTCTCTGATCAATGCAGGATTTCAATCAGGATTCCAGAGTGCCAATGATAAACATGCTACTCACCTCCTGACAGAGAAGTGATGGGCTTAATACGCAGAATTAGACGTATATTTTTGGATGAGACCAATGTGATTTTTTTAGTTTGACTAAGTACATTTGTTACAAGAGTTTTGTTTGTTTGTTTGTTTTTTCTTAGGCTAGGAGGGAGGTGGGGGGGAGAGAAATGCTTGCAAATTTGTTTAATTAAGTTTAATAAAAAGAAAATAAAGCAAAAAAATTGGGAGGGGGGAGAGAATTTAACTAAATGATCTCTCAAGCCTCTTACAACTCAAAATCTATTAATCCAACTTAATGGTAAATCCTATTCAAGCCAACAAGCATTTATTAAATGCCTACTATATGCAATGCTGGGACAGCATGGCATGGTGGAAAGAATGCTTTCCCTGGAGATAAGAAGACCTGGATTGAAGTCCAACTTCTTGGAATATACTGGATATGAGACCCTGGGTAAGTCACTTGACCTCTCAGTGCTCCAGGCCATTAAGAATATAAAGCAATGAAGGAATTTCTTCATAGAGAGCCAACTAAACTAAATCAATACAATCACAGGTCATGTAAGATGCTGTGCTAAGCACTGGCTACAAAAAGACTAAATGAATATCACCCCTGACTTCAAGGAGCTTAGATTCTGCTGGAGTTAACTTTATTTTTCACTATTAAGATATATGCATTTGGAAGCCATACCCTAAACCAGCGGTGGGGAACCTGCAGCCTCGAGGCCACAGGTGGCCCTGTAGGTCCTCAAATGCGGCCCTTTGACGGAATCCAAACTTCCACGTTTCAGTCTAAGTGACGCACTTGAGGACCTAAAGGGTCATGTGTGGCCTCGAAGCCGCAGGTTCTCTACCCCTATCCTAAACCAAAGGTAAAGAATGTGAAGAATTTCAGGCACCCTGGTTGTATTGTAGGACAAATCACTTTAAGCCTATGGGATCCCTTCTGGCAATTTGAATCACATGACACAAGTCAGCATTGTTCCCCATCTACAAACAGTGTTAGCCATGATTATATAGCCTTCAACCTACTATTATTGGTGGAGCAATACATTTCATATTAAAAATCCAAGTGATTAATATAAGAACGAGGCCTCTGTTTCTTCATCTCACGATGAAGTCAATTAAGCTCTAAGGTATTCAATTTTGCTACTGGCCACATTTTTGTCCACTGAGTTCTCCTTCTTACCTTTGTTCATCGTAGACTCCTCCTTTCCATGTTTCAGGGTCACGACAGCATCGCTTTCATCTGCAAACTTAAAAATTGAAAAAAATAGCTCTGAAGTCCTTGTTTAAAGATACTCGCAAACAAACAGCACATTAGATTGTGGGCATCAGACCCAGAGCCCAGAGTCTGAGCTGAATGGCTAAAAGCCTGTTAGACCGCAAGCACAAGAATTGAACTCACTCCAAGAAAATGACGTCTATGCAGATTGTTGCACAGATCAGCTTATGTATGTCCTCAGGATGAGTCGTTTAATGTTTTTTAAATTTTATTTCTGACACTGATTTAAATGATACTTAAATATTTTCTGTGATATATGCAGATGAGAAAAATCAGCATCACACTTTGTGGGATGTTACCAAAACTATAAAAACTAAATTAAACATACAGTGAATCACATCCCACTCCCCCAGCGAGTGGGAAAATAAAAGATGAGATTAATCTTTTTTTCCTCTGCTTGGAGGAGGTTTTCTGTTTGCATTTTACCACTCAGTACTGCTCAGTATGGGCTCCTGCTTTCTTCCCATATAACAAGTTTCTCAGAACTTTCCTGAGAATTCAACAAGACACCAAAAAACACGGCTATCTCCAGAGATCCCTTCTAGTTCAGACCTCTGGATTTCCAAAGGGATAGGATTAAATCTCAGGAACTCACACCTCTAGCAGATTCTAAAAATTTTCAATAGGATTCTGGTACAGGTGTCTAGGGGTAGCATTAGGACAGTGTCCCTGGATCTCCCGGGTTAGCTAAAATTTGAAGCAAATCCCTGAAAAAGTTGTAGGTTACACTAAGTCCTCTGAGTCAGCCTTGATCTCATCCCATGACTCTAGAGGGTAATGACATTTATCTCAGGATGTATTTGATGTCTAGAAGGTTAGGCTGAAACAACCAGACACACCTAGGTATACACCTTAATTACAATGCCTAGGAAAGGAAATAAATGAGCATTTATCAAGTGCCTACCATATGCTGGTACAAATATTATCTCATTTGATTCTCACAACAACCCTGAGAGGTGGGTACTATTATCCCCATTTTGCAGTTGAGGAAACTGAGGCAGAGGGTAAGTGACTTGCCCAGGGTCACACAGCTAGAGAGTATCTGAGTTTGGATTTAAGCTTGGGTCTTCCTCACGTTCAGGCCCTGTGGCATCTTTCCATGACTCCTTCACAGTATACACACCTGGCATTCCTTTTTATTAGGCCCCTTGAGACCTAATAATGTGAACAAATCCTTCACCTCTCTGGGCTTTATGTACTATAAATTTTAAGGTTTGGAATAGATGATCTCTAAATTATCTTCAAGCTCAATGATCCTATGAATTCTATGTTTCTGAAGGATAGTGACAGTAGATGAAATACACTGATAAACGGGAAAGCTCTGACAGTGCTAGCTAGGCTTTAAGTGAACTAGTGAGAGCTTTGGAACCCTTATTACTTGCTTTCCCTACCTCTGCCCCTCTTTCTCATTTAAGAAAAATATTAGTATAAAAGAAATTTGTGTTCCACGCCACACACAGCATTCCTTGTTCTATCCATGTGCCTTTGAACAGGCTGTTCCTTGTTATCATCATCATCTTTATTGTAAACTATCATTTATGTAGCATTGTAAGGTTTGCAAAGCACTTTACTATTATTATTTTATTCTCAATGATTTTTTTCAGGCAGATGATATTGATCCTCATTTTATGACTGAGGAAACTAAGGCAGACTGAACTCATATGTCTTGCCCAGGGTCACACAGTTCATTCCTGGAATGCTCTTGCTTCCCATCATAACCCATTAGAAGCCTTAGTAACTTTCAAAGATCAGTGAAGCTCTGTGTGGGTGCTTCCTCATCCCCTTGGTTGTTACTTTGACTGGACCAGGCTTAATGTACCTAGGTTGCCCAATAACCTTGGAACAAAGGTTGGGCAAGGTTGCAAAGGCTTTTAATTGCAAAACCAAGGAGGATAAGGGAAATTCAAATAAAAAGCTATTGCAATGGTCCAGGCAAGAAGAGATGAAGACCTGAGCTATGGTGGTGGCTGTGAGTAGAAATAAGGGGACAGATAAAAAAAATGTTGTGAAGAGACTTAGCAAAAGATTGGATTGTGATAAGAGAGAGAGGAAGTCAAAGTGAAGACACTGAGCTTGCAAACCTTGGTGACTGATAGGATGGTACCCTTGACCTTGAGAGGGAAATTAGGAGGGGTGGATTGTTTTTGGAAAAAGACAGTGAATTCTATTTTGGACATGCTGAGTTTGAGATTTCTATGGGGTGTCTAATTCAAACTATCCAATAAAGTGTGGAATATATAGATCTGGGAGTCATGTTCATAGACATAACTGAACCCATGAGATCAGATGAATCACCAAGAGGGAATGTGTAGAAATAGAAGAGGGCCTCGGGGTACACCCTCAAATAGGGGACAAAATAGTAATGAAGACCAAGTGAAGGGGACTGAAAAGAAGTTGTCAGACAGATAGACAGGGACCTAACAGGGTCCTTTACAAAGACCCAGAGAGGAGAGAGTATCCGGGAGCAGAGGTGGTCAACCACGTTGAATCCTGGAGAGAGTTCAAGAATGATGAGAACTAAGAAAAGGTCATTAGATTAGTCAATTAAGAGATCCATAGGTGTAACTTTGGAGAGAGTAATTCAAGCCAGTAATAAGTTAAGGAGCAAGAATGCAAGGGGTCCAGGAGTGAAAGAAGAGCAAGTCTTCTGATGTCTCCTTTTGGCATGGAGGTAATCTTGACTTCAGAAAGGTCATCCCAGCCCAACAGTGCTTCTACCACCTGAGGACCAACACATCTAAGTGTGGAAAGGCTCAGCACCAAGAAGGCTGACAGGAGGCAATAGATTATTTTGGCCACAGTAATCCACAGCAGCTCATGAAAACATTCCACTAAAGACCAGAGTGGGCTGAAAAAATTCTTAGAAAGAGTTCCTACACTGATTAAACCATGGATCTTTTGAAGTGTTGTGATGTAAATAATTTACTATAGGCAAATACATTGTCTCCCCTTATTAGGATATGAGCTCTTTGAAAGCAGGGACTAGGATTGTTTTTTTTAATTTGTATCCTTAACATTTAGCAGAGTGTTTTGCACACAGTAAGAGCTTAATAAAAAGCTTTTTCATTTATTCATTCATCTAAAGTAGTATGCCAAAAAAAAGATGGAAGAGGGAGGGAAGAGATGGAAGAAAGAATGGACATGAAGATGTAGAGAGATAGAGGGCCTAGAGAAAGACAAATATAATGGCAGACAAATAATGCAGAATGGGCATATCCATCTTTAATCTATGCAAATTACTTTGATGAATGCTTATTTCTTTGATTTAAGGACAAGGTGGAATTCTTTGAATAGACTGATTCAGAAGGAGGGTAAGTAGAAGGGGTAGGAAGACTTTCTCAACAGTCTCAAGGTGGCTGTATGTCATCTGTCTCTAGTCTACAAAGCTAAAGGGAGGAGGAGAGAGAATGAAAGCGAAAGGGCATTTCTATAGGAACACTGATTTAGAGCTGGACACCTTAGAGTTCATCTAGTTCAATCTCTTTATTTTACAGAGAAGGAACCTGAGCCTCAGAAAGGTTAAGTGTCTGTGGTTGGATCCAAACCCAGGTCTTTGGGACTCCATTCACTTTGGTGCTCTATTCACCATACCACTCTGTCTCACTGAGATAAATAAGAAAGACTGATAGAGACAGGTGTAGATAAAGTGAAAATTCTTACTCTGTTCTTAGATCTTGTAAGTTGCCTGGGGCCCAGACAGTACCTTTCTCCATCTTGCTGTTGGGTAGTTTAGCTCTTGGCTTTTCCTTCTCCTACTTCTCACAAACTGGTCTTCTAATATCCTATTTCTCCAGGCCTAGAAAACCTAATAAACTAGCTTGGCATTACCTTTACTCCCCAAGATAAGAAATATGTATTTTAATAGCAGGGTCTGGAGACAATACATTGGCAAGAAGTGGGTTAGCTGGACCAAGCAGGGGCTAAACCACTAACTGGCTGTATTGTCAGTGGTAGTTGATCAAAACAACTGAAAACAAGAAAATGGAAAGTTGTAGCTGGAATAATAGACTTTTGAACTGTTTCTGAACTACCATTTAAAATACATGTATTTCCTTTGTACTATGAACTTTCAGCTAAAGATTTTTTAACCCAATTTTTAAGCTGCATGGATTACATCCAAGTACATTATATGAGACTATGAAGTTTTAAGCCTTTAAAAGAATTATTTAATACTCTCAGTTATAAACCACTTTGTTATAATCCATGAGGATCCTAATCAGGATGTTTTGCTTTGGTGAGACTCCCTGAGGAAGAAAATGGACAAGGACTAAATTATCCAAGATTAAAGAGTGACAGAACTCCCAGCAGGGAGCCTTTGTGGTTAGTGCTGTTAACACAGTCTCATGGAATTGTTACTATTTTTATTTTTTGCATGTCTGTATCTAATTCTTGGCCCAAATTTCTGTCTTCCAGAGGGCTGCTTCTATCAGAATCTGATAGGCTTCTTACACAAAACTTTGCTTTGCCTACTGAATGTGGAAAGTTGCTTTCTTTTCTTTATGCTGAAAAGAACCAGAAAAGCCTTTGAAATATTCTGGATGAACAATCTGCAGCCTTCAGATATCCTCTTTCTAATAACACGATGTAAACATCTTACTTAATCCTTTGCTGCCCTCTGATAGAATCAAGTTATGACTCTGTGGGTCTGTACAGCTTTCAAAGAGAAAGTAACGTGATGGTATATAAAGTATTCTTTGAGATAGATTCTTTTTTTCTTCAGCCTCACACTCAAGATTCAGTCATTTTCTCTTCCATGCTGTTTTGGCTCTGTCTTTCCTGGTACTTCACTTAACGTATCCAAAGGATAAAGCCTCACACTCACTGAATGAGATTGTGGTTAAGTTTCAACAAGCAGTTCATGACTCCTTAATTAAAATTATGTTAACAAAAAACAGGGTTGGATTTGCCAGTTCTCCAAGGAAGTCAATGGATAAGTAGAATACTGCTTGCTTAATTTTGTAAGGTATACAT